CTACAACCAGGGAATGGGCGTGCAGAGAGAGGAGGGAGGAGGCCCTTGTACTTCCGCTTTGTATATTTACTGATATTTGAATTTTTTTTTTTTACAATGAACAATTATTTTTGGAATTTTTTTAAAAGGAAAATTGATAGTATTTTAAAATCAAAATTAATTTTAATTCATGTTCTGTATTTTCTAAGAAGTAACTTTTTTTATACAAAAGCTTTTTTAAAAAAATGTTTTATTGATGTTTTTACAGTGAGGAAGGGAGAGGGATAAAGAGTTAGAAACATCGATGAGAGAGAAACATCAATCAGCTGCCTCCTCCATTTGGGGATGTGCCCTCAACCAAGGTACATGCCCTTGACTGGAATTGAACCTGGGACCCTTGAGTCCGCAGGCCGACGCTCTATCCACTGAGCCAAACCGGTTAGGGCTAAAAAAGCTTTTTATAAAACTTCTGTAAGGGTAGTTAGAATTGAAAACATATGAAATTTCAAATAATACCATGAAATAAGTTGTAACTTCTAATTATGTGCTAGTTGGCACAGTTTACATTAGGAGTCAATTTTGACCAGATTTTCTTGTGTAGATTTATTTGAAAAAGAAAACAAAACCAAAAAACTGTTTCGTCTAGAAACAGCCATTAAACATGAGAGTGTTTTTTTTTTTTTCTGAAACATGCGTTTAGTTTTGCAGTGGGCACCATGCTTACCGCCAGCCAGGATATAGAGACCTGACCTGGTGGCCCTTAAGCAGACTCTTCGTAAGGTGTTTGTACATGGGCAGCCCTCACCTTGAAAAACAGACTGAAGAAAGTCAGTGACTCTAAGATGGTCAGTCACAGACTAGAACACAGCACAGGACTGTGAAGTAGAAGGAGCTGGTTTCAAAAAATTCAGCTCAGACTTTCAGAAGTCTTAAGCGACGAGTGTCCAGGGTCTCCACTGATTTGAGAGATGTTGCATACGCAATAAACACTAGTATCAGACCTTAAGACACTGCTTCAGAATACAAAGGGTACCAAAAAGCCAAGTCATTCAAGTAAAACACCAGCAAAGTTCCTCAGGGGGAAAAAAGCTGCTTATATTTCTATAGCTCTGGAGTCTGGAAAAAAATTTTAATTGCTTTTCAAAATGCCTACTAGCCCTTAATCATAAGAATAGCTGCTCAGTCTTAAATTAATTTTTAATTACATCAGAAGATTAAATATTGCAAATGAAAACCATATTGAGATACCAATTTTCATCTGTCAGGTTGGTAAAAATTCAAAAGTTAGACAATGCTTACTGTTGAGAAGACAATGAAGAAAGAAAAGAAGAGAAAAGAGAAGAGAAGAAAAGTAGAAAAGAAGAAAAGAAAAAAGAAAAGAAAAGAGAAAAGACTCTTATCCATTACTGGTGAGAGTGCAAAATGATTTAACTTCTCTGGAGGGCAGTTGGGTAACATCTGTCAAAGTGCATTTCCTTTTCAATCCAGATCTCAGTTTTAGGAACTTTATTCTACACAGATATGTCATTTCATTGTGTGTGCAGTGCAGGTAAATTTACAAGTCTCTATTAATAAAGAATTGTTTGTAAAGGAATTCTTGGATACCACAATGCCCATTTAAAAGGGATTTGTTTTAAAAGGAAAGCGTAGTGTATCCACACAGCGGAATATAATGGGGATGTATAAAGAAAAATAAGAAAAAGTTCTCCACACATTGATACAGGAAGGTCTCTAGGCTATACTGTAAAAGACGGGTGGGGGAGTACAAAGCTGTGTATTTAAATATGTGTGTGGGGTTTTTTATTTTTTAGAGAGAGAGGAAAGGAGAAACATCTATCAGTTGCCTTCCATATGCACTCCAACTGGGGACTGAACCCACAACCTGAGCATGTGCCCTGACCAGGAATCGAATTTGCAACCTTTTGGTGCATGGGACAGTGCACAACCAACTGAGCCACACTGGCCAGGGCCAGAGCTGTGTATTTAATATTTTGCTATTTGTATAAGACATGGTGAGAATGCTCTAAAGAAACTAATAAAAGTGATTATTGCCCAGCCAGTGTGGCTCAGTGGTTGAGCATCATCCCATGAAGCAGGAGGTCATGGTTTGATTCCCAGTCAGGGCACATGCCTGGGTTTTGGGCTCAGGCCCCCGGAGGGGGCATATAGGAGGCAGCCAATTGATGATTCTCTCTCATCATTGATGTTTCTCTCTCACTCCCTTCTTCTCTGAAATCAATAAAAACTTTTTTTAAAGTGATTATCTAGAGATAATCCAGTCTGACCCTCATCACTTCACTAAGACTATTTTTATTTTTGCTAAGGTCACCAGTGACATACACATTAAATAAATCCAGTGGACACTGCAGTTTTCATCTTGACCTCTCAGCAGTCTTTGTCACAGGTGACCTCTCCTTCCTACTACAAACAATGAATGCTGAGTACGTACAGTATTCAGCTCTCCATATGAATTATTCATTTAATTCTTTAACAGCTCTTTAAAATAGGTTGTTGTCATCCCATTGTACAGATGAAGCTGGACCTTAGAGAGGTTAAGTAACTAGTTCCATCTTAGTAGGGGGTAGATCAAGGGTTTAAATTCAGACACCATCCAATCCTGCTGCCTCTTTGAAACTCTCTCATCCTGTGATCCTGGGTTTTCTTCCTCTTTCTCTGTTTCTCTTTGGATTTCTTTGCAGCTCCTTCTTGTGCCTGGTCTTCAGGTTTTGGAGGTTTCTTAGGGTTTTATCTTGGATCCTCTTCTCACTGCTGCTAGGCAGTCTTTCCACACCATGGCTTCAGTTACCACATAAAAGGTGAGGAGCTCCCAATATATATTTTATAGCTTAGAGCAGCTTCTGGTCTGTAGACCCAGATATCCAACCATCGCAACCATCTAAAACCTAATTTTTAACCTGCTCCTCCTATGCTGCCTTTTTTTGCTAAATGGTACAAGCCGTCCACCCGCGGCTCAGCAGAAACCTGGGAACCTTCCTCGTCCCGTTAACCATCACCAAGTCCTGTGTGTGTGTCTCTGTCATCTTCCCTAAGGAGAGCAGCCTCCGCAGTTCTACTCACACTTTCTCGTCGTGTCCTGCACTGTCTTCTCCCTTTCACAACATTTCCCATGATTATATTCACTTGCTTTGTGAACGTTTGGTTTTTTAATTCCTCAGCCTGAAATTTATTTTTTATTCCTTTAGAAAAGACATTCAGGGAGAAACCAAGACAGTCTTATTTGTTACTATATCCCCAGTGGCTAGCAGAGTGTCTGTTTGGCACAGAGGCATCATTAAATATTTGCTTAAATGAAAAAGAAACAGAAATTTATTTAGGAAAACCCCTAACAAAACAAGAATGGGTAGTGGGAGGGTGAACTCCTAGAGACAGACTTACAAACAAGGTTTCTGAGAGTCAAGCCATGGAAGGGAGCTAAGGAATTGGCCGTAGGATTGAGAGAAGTAGGGGAGTTGGGGGTGTGGAATTGCAGGACCCAAACTGTCATTACATGTGGGAGGTAAGATCAGGGGTGGCAACAATGCAACAAACTGCCCTAACCGGTTTGGCTCAGTGGATAGAACATAGGCCTATGGACCAAAAGGTCCTGGGTTCAAATCCAGTCTGGGGCACGTACTTCAATTGTAGGCTTCGCCCTGGTCAGGGCGTGTGGAGGAGGCAACCAGTCAATGTGTTTCTCTCACACCGATATTTCTCTCTGTCTTTCCCTTTCTCTTCCACTCTTTCTAAAAATCAATGGAAAAATATCCTTGGGTGAGGATTAAAAAAAGAATGCAACAGATTTCCAGCTTTGACAGCTGAGGGGATCATGTTACCATTCCTTGAGGGGACCAGGTATGAAAATAGGAAGAATGACTTTAGTTTTGGACCTGTTGACTTTGAAGAACTTCCCGTGGGACTCCGAAATGGAGAGAACCAGTAGGCAGTTATAAAAATGGAAATAGACCCCAGTGAGGCTGGGACGGCCCCGGTGAGGTCGAGACAGCCCCGGTGAGACCGAGACGGCCCCGGTGAGGTCGCGACGGCCCCGGTGAGGTCGCGACGGCCCCGGGGCCGCGACGGCCCGGTGAGGTACGGCACAGGTGAGGTCGGGATGGCCCCGGTGAGGTCGAAACGCCCCGGTGAGGTCGGGATGGCCCCAGTGAGGCTGAAATGGCCCCAGTGAGGCTGAAATGGCCCCAGTAAGGCTGAAACAGCCCTAGTGAGGTCGGGACGGCCCCAGTGAGGTTGAAACGGCCCCGGTGAGGTCGAGATGGCCCTGGTGAGGCCAAGACGGCCCCGGTGAGGTTGGGATGGCCCCAGTGAGGTTGGGAAGGCCCTGGTGAGATTGAAACAGACAATAAAGACCAATATAAACTGATGAACAAAAATAGATGCAGAGGCAGAGCAGCACTGAACACTGTCAAACTACAGTGGGAAGCCTGGGGAGGGTTTGGGGCGGGGGGGTTAAGAGATCAACCGAAGGACTTATATGCATGCATATAAGAATAACCAATGGACACAAGACACTGGGGGGTAGGGGAGGCCGGGGGAATGTCAAGGGGGGAAAAAGGAGACATATGTAATACTCTTTGTAATACTGTAAGAAATAAAAATTATTTTTAAAAAAATGGAAATAGAATTTAGGAGAGAGATACAGGCCTTACTTCATCACCAGTAAAATACTATTGGTAATTCAAGTGTAAACTGATAAAAGTTTACTCACTGAGACTTCATCGTTGGTACAGAATAGGTAGATATTATGGTAATTTTTAAATTAGGTGTGGATAAGATCTACTGTATGTCATACAGAAATGGAATTTTTACATTAATCTTCAATATCTTGAGAATATTAACTAATAGCTGTGAAAACTAGCATATCTCATTTTAATGATGTTATTTTGTTCATGCTAATTTATACCTTTTTATATTAAAGATGAAATAACAGCTTAGTGAGGTTTGTAGACTGTCAGTTGTGTGAGAACTTGCTGCCATGTGATTTAATTTTTTTCTCGTTTTTCTAGGGCCTATTCCCTGGTGGATTCCAGTCAAGTGTCTACATTTCTGATCTCCATTCTCCTGATAGTCTACGGTAGTTTCAGGTAAGGTGCTCTCACAGTGAGACTAACCTCAGTGGGAGGGGAGATTAGCACCAAAACTTACTGCTCTGTGAAGAGAAATATGACTGACAGGAATTGAGTTAGAACGGGATAATTCTGATATTTCTTCTTTAATTTGGCTGCTGTTAAAAGACTTCTTGGTTTTACTTATATGATTTTGGAATTTTAATGGAAACATGAATTGCTTAAATTCTGGTTCTGAGAATAATGACTCCCATAAACACACTTATTGAGAAGGTTAAGGAGAAAATCCTTGACAGTGATTTTAGAGTCTCAAAGGGAACAAAGTTTTTCTTAATATAGGTTGACAGAGGGTGAGCCATGTGAAATTGCCTATAGTCAACTTTTTTGACCTACACAAATAATTTATGGTTCAGCGTAATTATGGACATTAGTATTTACCAAGTATTTTCTCTGTTGACTTTGGGAATGCTGAGACTGGATCCTCTTGAAATTCCTATTCTAGAAGGCAGCCACAGGAATAGGAAGTTAGACATTTACTCTTCTTTATCACTATCCTTTCTTTTTTTTTTTTTAAATATATTTTATTGATTTTTTACAGAGAGGAAGGGAGAGAGATAGAGAGATAGAGAGATAGAAACATCGATGGGAGAGAAACATCGATCAGCCGCCTCCTGCACATCTCCCACTGGGGATGTGCCTGCAACCCAGGTACATGCCCTTGACCAGAATCGAACCTGGGACCCCTCAGTCCGCAGGCCGACGCTCTATCCACTGAGCCAAACCGGTTTCGGCCACTATCCTTTCTTGAAAGGAACTTAATATAACTCAAATAGTTTTGTGGCTGACACTCTTAACAATAAAGGTCACATAAGAAATTTTAAATTGAAAACTTGAAAGGGAGTGATGGTGATAAATGAAATAGGCATAAGAATTTTGAACTATTATATCTGGATTTTAATAGAACTTAGCAAAATCACAGGCTTTATCTCAACACTGCGTAGAACAAGTACAATACTGTTGGTAATTCCAGTATCAACTGATACATGTTTTAATCATTGAGACTTCTATTGAGAATCCTACATTCATAATGAGTCTTAGGAAGCATTAGTTAAGCCAGAGTAACTTAGGACCTTATCACATAATCTTGATATTTTTATATTGCTATCCTTTGTAGAAGTTTCTTATTTTTTCTCTTTGTGTATATGTCAGCATTTTCGAAGAAGGTAATTTTTAAAAAAATCTTTAGACCTACAACCCTAGTACTACAGTAAGTCTTTTTTTTTTTAAGTCTTTATTTAATGTCAGTAAGTTCTGTGACTTTAAGTGAAATGCCGTATAATGACGCCAGTTTTACCATAGGCTGATTGATGTAAACAAGGGTTAAGTTCTTATAGCATCTTATCAACGGTATAACTAAACTAGTGGCCCGGTGCACGAAATTTGTGCATGGGGGCGGGGTGTCCCTCAGCCTGGCCTGCACCCTCTCCAATCTGGGACCCCTCAGGCCTAAACCGGCCGTCAGACATCCCTCTCGCAATCTGGGACCACTGGCTCCTAATTGCTCACCTGCCTGCCTGATTGCCCCTAACCACTCTGCCTGCCAGCCTGCTCTCCCCAACTGCCCCCTGCCCCCCCATGTCGGCCTTCTCTCCCCATACTGACCCCCCTTGCCAGCCTGATCGCCCCACCACCCGCTGGCCTGCTCACCCCCAACTGCCCTCCCCTGCCAGCCTCATGGCCCCCAACTGCCCTCCCTGGCTGGCCTGATCACCCCAACTGTCCCTCCACCCCCCGCCGGCCTGGTTGCTCCTCACTGCCCTCTTCTGCCGGCCTGGTTGCCCCTCACTGCCCCTCCCTGCCAGTCTGGTCGCCCCCAACTGTCCCCCCCTGCTGGCCTGGTTGCCTCCAACTGTTCCCCCTGCTGGCATGGTCACCCCCAACTACCCCCCGCTGCTGAGTTGGTTGCCCCTCACGACCCCCCCTGCCGGCCTGGTCACCCCCAACTGCCCTCCCCCCCTCTGTCCTGGTCGCCCCTCACTGCTGCCCTCTGCCAGCCTGGTCACCCCTCACTGCCCCCCCTGCCGGCCTGGTCACCCCACACAGCCTGCTGTTCAGTCGTTTGGTCATTCCTCACTAATCCCCCTGCGGGCCTTGTTGCCCCACTCAGCCTGTTCGGTCGTCCATTCGGTTGTTTCGGATGTGACGATCTCTTAGGCTTTTAGTATATAGGTGCATTATTTGTTCTTTCATTAGTATATGTGACCTTTCGTTTGGCCTATTTTATATACTGGGTACATTTTTATAGTTTAAATCATTTATATTCTGATTATTTTCACCTAACAAAAATATTTTCCACAATCATCTTCATACTAATTTTTAGTACTAGTAATTTGGTATTTCTTTGTGGTACTGTCTTATTCCACTCTTGTTTGACATGTGGGTTGTTAAGGTAACCATCTTTTTATGTTCTTTTGCTTTGGTTGAATTATACAAGTTAAATATTCAAAACTTGAAATACTTCGGCAGAGAGTATAAACTGGCTTTTAGTATATAGTGCTGTATTGTTTTACAGGCAGGTTATACCAATTTAGGATCATGCATGTTTTAAACAAAATTTATGCTTATAAATGCACCACAGAATTATATCAATGGAAAAGATTTCTCTGGTGAACTTCTTTGTCTTACAAATGAGGAAACTGAAGCTCAACAAGATGAGGTAACTTGATAAAGATTACACAACTCATTTGGTGACAGAGTCTGGTTTGGGACCCAGTTGTTAGGGTGTTGGTCCCACTACATTATGTCTTTTATACTTTAGTAATATATTTCTGCAAAAAAGTAAATTGTGATGCCTTTAATTATACATTTAAATTGCCCTCATTGAATAAGTTTAGAAGTGTTTTCTCCTGTTTTCTGAAAAAGATTATATAAACTTGTATTTCTTCTTTAAATATATGATAGAACTCACCAGTGAAGCCATCTGAAGTCTGGCTTTTTGTGGAAAAATTCTTCATTGTTTTTTTCATGCTTTGTTCACTTTTTTTTTTCTTATTATTATTAAGTACTGGCAAGGAGCCCTAGCCAGTTTGGCTCAGTGGATAGAGCGTCGGCCTGTGTACTGAAGGGTCCTGGGTTCAGTTCCTGTCATGGGCACGTACCTCAGTTGCAGGCTCCTCTCTGGGTTGCCGGCTCAGTCCCCAGTAGGGGTGTGCAGGAGGCAGCCCATCAATGATTCTTTCTCATCATTGATGTTTCTCTCTCTCTCTCTGTCTCCCTCTCCCTTCCTCTCTGAAATCAATAAAAATATATTTTTTAAAAGTACTGGTAAGGATGTTTTTCTTTTTGTGGTAAAATAAATATAAAATGAAATTTACCATTTTATTCGTTTTTAAGAATAAAGTTCAGTAGCAGGTACAAGGTTTTAAAAACACGTTATTGTCTCTCTCTTTATTATAACCATTCTGATACTAGGGTGTGGAATGATTTCGAAGTCTGTGGCTTCGATTGCATTTCTCTAATAACCGGGATTAGGATGCTGAAAAGCTATTAAGCATCTTTTCACGTGCTTATTGGCCACATGATTTTTCCAGTTTGTTTCACCTTTTATCCCCCCTCCCCCAAAGTATTGATAAGGTGTGTTTTTTAAAAAACAACAGCAGCACAGGTTTAATGAGGTATAATGTGCCTACCATTAAGTTCTTCCATATAAAGTGTACAATTCAGTGGTTTCAGAATATTACTAAATTGTGTAAACATCACCATAATCCAATTTTAGGACATTTTCATCATCCCAAAAGAAATCTTGTACCCATTAGTAGTCATTCCCCTCCCCTCTCCCCCTACTCTAGGTAACCACTAATCTTTAGCTTTGTCTCTCAAGATTTGCCTGTCTTCTTTTTTAACATAGGTGTTTAAAGCAGCAAATTTCCCCCTAAGCACTGCTTTAACCGCATCCTCTAAATGTTATATTTTAATTTCATTCAAGTCAAGATGTTTTCTAACTTTCCTGGTGATTTTTTTTTCTTTTGACCTATGGTTTTTTAAATTACTTTCCAAATATTTAAGGATATTTCAGAATTCTCTCTGCTGTTGAAAGGAATTTCAACCACCTAATTCAATTTCGTTGTGGTAAGAGACATACCTTTAATGATTTCAATCCTTTTAAATTTGTTGAGGCTTGTTTTAGCATACAATCCATCCAGGAGGCTGTTCATGTGCAGTTGGAAAAATCAGCCTTCGACAGAGTTGAATGCAGTGGATGACATCGTCCGGTTTGTGTTTTAGAAAGGTTGTCTGGGTTGTGTGTGGGAAATAGACTGTTGTGTCACAGGAAACCTGGGAGAGACTGTTGCCCTAGTACAGGCGACAAATGACGATGGCTTTAACTAGAATAATAGTGGCGGATGAGGTGTCAGTAGGTTAGGGATGAGATTGCTGAGAGGATGGATATAGTTGGTATGAGAGAGAAGTCAGGAATGACTCCCAAAGTTTATGGCCTAAACACCTGGATCCAAAGATGGTGCCATTTTTGAGCTGGAAAACTCCATAAGAAAAGCAGATAATAAATTATTGGATAGCCGAAACCAGTTTGGATCAGTGGATGGAGCGTCGGCCTGCGGACTGAAGGGTCCCCGGTTCGATTCTGGTCAGGGGCATGTACCTGGGTTGCAGGCACATCCCCAGTGGGAGATGTGCAGGAGGCAGCTGATCGATGTTTCTCTCTCATCAATGTTTCTGACTCTCTATCTCTCTCCCTTCCTCTCTCTAGAGAATCAATGAAATATATTTTTAAAAAATAAAAATTAAAATAAAATAAAATAAAATAAAATAAAATAAAATATTGGATAAAACATTTGTGAAGTGGACTGCTATGTCCCACCAGGCTTTCACATCTCTGAGTACAGAGGGGAAATGATACCAAATAACACTAGATTCTAAAAGCCAAAGCACATCCTGGATTTAGGAGTCCTTATGTTTACCATCCCTTTACTGAGCTTTACTAGATTTCCTGTATTACTTAAAGCTGACACCCATCTCTCTTTAACCTTCCAGCTGTTCAGAAACAAAATAGCATAATTACTCATTTTATTAGTAAGTTCCCAAAGAGTTTGACAGACCTACAGGAGAGCATTGCGAGAGGGAGAGGCAGAGAAAAATAACTGGATATATATCCCGGTGACTATAGTTAATAATAATGTGTTATATACTTGAAATCTGCTAAGAAAGTAGATCTTACTAATAAGTATTCTGACCGCAAACAAAAGGCAACTAAGGGAGGTAGTGGATGTGTTAATTCATTTGATTGTGGTAATTATTTCACATTGTATACATATATAAAGACATTATGTTGTGTACCTTCAATATACAGATACTCCTTGACTTACGATGGGGTTACATCCTTACAAACCCATCGTAAGTTGAAAATATCGTATATCAAAAATGAATCGAATACACCTCACCTAGCCTACCTTCAATGTGCTCAGAACACTTACACATTAGCCTGCAGTTAGGCAGAATCATCTAACACAAAGCCTGTTTTGTAATAAAGCGTTAAATATCTCATGTAATTAAATACTGTACTGAAAGAAAACAGAGTGGTTGGATGGGTATTTGCCATTAATACACATAGTTGAAAATGCGCTGGGCCAGGATGGCTGAAGCGTTGCTGGGTGATGGGGGGTGACAGCACCAGGGTCATCCCTGTCTTTCTCTTCTGATGAGGCTGGAGAAGAGCTGCTTTCTACTGAATGTGTTTCACTTTTGCACGTTGTGAAGTTGAAAATTGTCATGTTGAACCACCATAAAGTTGGAAACCATCTGTACACAATTTTTTGTCAAAAATAATCTTTAAACAAAAGTTAAAGATAGTTTCCAGGTTGTGGTACAGGGAGAAAGATTCCCTAGGTGAGGAGGCGGAGCTGAGGCAGCTAGAGCTAGTAAGTCAGAATACAAAAAAGAAGAAAGCTTACAAAGAGAGAAACTCCGAGATCTGCAGAGGGACCCTTTGAGCATTGATCAGTGTGGATTGGTGCTACATGCGAGGAAATGAGCTCAGACTGAGGAAGGAACCATGTGGAAGAACTAAAAGGAAAAGTACCTGTTCCCTCCGGCAAGATTGGAAACAACTGAGGCCTGATGTGGCATCGGGTAGGAATTCAGAAAGGTCCTGCCTCAGTGTAGGAGATATTACCCTGCTCCAGACCTGCCTAATGAATCATAAAGCAGGGCCTGAACAGATTCAACTATTTCCAGGTAACTGACAGCATCCCAGAACAAAGCTTAAGAAGATTTATAGTCCTATAAAATTATCAGGCAGCCAATAGGAATATAAAAATACTGAGATGAGGTAAAATTCACCAAGTCTGGCAGACAAGCAAAGATTGCCAGGGAGCAAAGAGAAAGGAAAACATAACCAATAATGAGAATAATCAATCAAACCCAACCCAGAGCTGGCGCAGATGTTAGAATTAACAGAGAAGTACATCAGAACAGGTAGTATGATTATTACATATGTATAAAAAGTTAGCTAGATACTCTAAACTACCCAAATCAAACGTCTGGAAATGAAAATAATATCTCAGATAAATACATTGGATGGGATTAACATCAATTAGTCATTACAGAAGAAAAGAATCATGAAGTTGAAGATACAACAAAAACTACAAAATGAAATAGAGAAAAAGTGAAAAAAATCGTTAATGAAAAGAACATCCAACAGCAACCTCCAGCAGCGTAATGTATGAGTAACTGGAGTCTTTGAGAGGAAAGGGAAGGGAGGAACAGGAACGAGCTTGAAGGAGGAATGGCCACGCCCTGGCTGGTGGCTCAGTTGGTTGGAGTATGGAACCATTTGGCTGTGGGTTTGGTTTCTGGTCAGGCACATGCCTGGGTTGCGGGTTTCATCCCTGGTCAGGATGAGTCAGAAGGCATCCAGTTGATGTTTTGCTCTCACATTGATGGTTCTCTTTCCCTCTCCCTTCCTCTCTCTCTAAGATCAATTTTAAAAAAGAAAGAATGGCTAAAATTTTTTCACACTTGAAGAAAACTATAACCCACAGATCTAAGAAGCCCTACTCCAGGCATGAGAAACAGGAAGAAATTGCTCAAAACCAGTGATAAAATTGAAAACCAAAAAGCAGCCAGCACGGCTGGGGGCAGATATGTTCTGTACATAGGAATAAAAATAAGAATGGACATCCAATTCCTCATTGAATTCAAGTACAAGTGAGAAGACAGTGGAACAACACATTTAAAGTACAGAAAGAAAAATTGTCAACATAGAATCCTATAGCAAAAGTATCTTCTAAAAATGAAGACAAGGTAAGATATTTTCAGGTATACAAAACCTGGAAGAATTCATTACCAACTTTCACTACAGGAAATGTTAAAGGATGGACTTCAAGTAGATTAAAAATAGTATCAGTTGGAAATCTGGAGCTACACACACAAAAAATGAAGATCAAGAAATGGTAATTACATTGATAAACATAAAAGGGTTTTTGTGTTTTTTTTTACCTAAAATTGTTTAAAAGATAATTGTATAAATAAAAATATATCATGGAGTTTATAGCTTAACATGTAAAATGCCTGGCAATAATAGTACAAAGGTTGGAAAGGGGAAAAATAAATGTAACCACTGTAAGATTTTACACTGTCTATGAAGTAGTATACTATAACTGTGGGTTAGAAATGTATACTATAAACTTTAGCAACCACTAAAATAAAAGAACAAAGAGTTATAGCTAATAAGACAACAAAGAAGATAAAACAGAATCATAAAAAAAAAAAAATACTGTATTAATCCAAAAGAAGGCAGGTAAAAAAGGGAACCAAAAAAAAAAAAAGGACAAATAGAAAACAAATAATAACATGATAATATAATCATAGCAATAATTACATTAAATGAAACTGGCCTAAACACCCCCCAATTAAAAGGTAGGAATTATCAGATTGAATTAAAAAGCAAGATCCAATCACTGCTATAGATATAAAGCCAGAAAAAATACTTAGAGTGAAAGATTGAGAAAAGATAACCTTGCTTATACTCATCAAAAGGAAGCTGGAGTGCCTATATTAATATCAGATAAAGCAACTTCCACAGCAAGCAAGACATATTACTACAAAGAAGGTTGTTTAATGATAAAGGGATCAATTATGCACCAAGATACAATAATCCTAAATGTTTATACATCTATTAAAATACCTTAAATACATGAAGCAAAAGCTAATAGAACCGCAAAGAGAAATAAATCCATAAATGTAGCTGAAGATTTCAACACTCCCCCACCCCACCAATAATGAATAGAACAAATGGTCAGAAAATCAGCGATGCTATAATGGCTTGAACAAATCCAAGGTCACAAAGATTTACCCCCATGTTTTCGTCTAAGAGTTTTATAGTTTTAGCTCTCAAATTCTTTAAATTTAATTAGTTAAAATTAAATAACATGTAGAATTCAGTACCTCAGTGCACTCCCACATTTCAGGTGCTCATGTGGCTAATGTTACCACATTGGTCAGTATAGATGCAGAATATTTCCACCAACACAGGAAGTTCTTTTGGACACACAAACACCCTCAAATCCCTTTAAAAGAACATAGAAAATGAACTAAGCACTTGAACAGATAGTTCACAAAGAAATAAGTGGGCAAGCTCATATACATAAAATTGTTCAGAGTTAAAGAAGTCTGAATTGAAACAGAGGTGGTCCGAATAGCTGCAGCGATCCTGAGAAAGAACAAAGTAGGTGGGATCTCAATACCAGATATCAAGCTGTCTTACAAAGCCACTTTTCTCAAAACTGCCTGGTACTGGCACAAGAACAGACATATAGATCAATGGAATAGAATAGAGAGCACAGAAATCAGCCCGAACCAATATGCTCAATTAATATTTGACAAAGGAGGCAAGAACATACAATGAGTCAAGATAATCTCTTCAATAAATGGTGTTGGGAAAATTGGACAGATACATGCAAAAAAATGAAACTAGACCACCAACTTACACCATACACAAAAATAAACTCAAAATGGATAAAGACTTAAATATACAACGGGAAACCATAAAAATACTAGAAGAATCCAAAGGTGGCAAAACCTCAGACGTATGCCAAAGCAGTTTCTTCATTGATACAGCTCCTAGGGCATTGGAAACTAAAGAGAAAATAAACAAATGGGACTACATCAAAATAAAAAGCTTCTGCACAGCAAAAGAAACCATCAACAAAACAACAAGAAAGCCCACTGCATGGGAGAACATATTTGCCAATGTTATCACCGATAAGGGTTTAATCTCCAACATTTATAGGGAACTCATACAACTTAACAAAAGGAAGATAAACAATCCAATTAAAATGGGCAAAAGACCTAAATAGACACCTTTCAAAAGAGGACATTCAGAAAGCCAAGAGACATATGAAAACATGCTCAAAGTCACTAATCATCTGAGAGATGCAAATCAAAACAACAATGAGGTACCATCTCACACCTGTCAGAATGGCTATCATCAACAAATCAAAGACAAGTGCTGGAGAGGATGTGGAGAAAAAGGAACACTTGTGCACTGCTGGTGGGAATGTAGACTGGTGCAGCCACTATGGAAGACAGTATGGAGTTTCCTCAAAAAACTAAAAATGGAACCCCCATTTGACCCTGTGATCCCACTTCTAGGAATATATCCCAAGAAACCAGTCAGAAAGGATATATGCACCCCTATGTTCATAGCAGCACAATTCACCATAGCTAAGATCTGGAAACAGCCTAAGTGCCCATCAGTAGATGAATGGATTAGAAAACTGTGGTGCATCTACACGATGGAATACTATGCTGCTGTAAAAAGGAAGGAACTCTTACCATTTGCAACGTCATGGATGGAACTGGAGAGCATTACGCTAAGTGAAATAAGCCAGTCAATGAAGGAAAAATACCACATGATCTCACTCATTTATGGATAATAAAGACCATTATAAACTTATGAACAAAAATAGATACAGAGGCAGAGCTGCCTCAAACAAACTGTCAAACTACAGCAGGAAGGCTGGGGAGGGTTGAGGGGCAGGAGTGGGGGGTAAAGAGATCAACTAAAGGACTTGTATGCATGCATATAAGCATAACCAATGGACATAAGACACTGGGGTCAGGGGAGGTCAGGGGATTGTCAAGGGCGGGGAAAAAAAGGAGACATATGTAATACTCTTTATAATACTTTAAGCAATAAAACAATTTAAAAAAAAAAGAAACAGAGTGGCATTTTTAGTCCCCCATACTGACATACTTCCTTAAGGTCTTGACTGAGCAGTTACACCAATGAAGCCTTCCCTGCCCGCCCTATTAAAACTTCAAGCCTAATCTCTCCATTTCCTGCCCTTTTTCCTTAGCTCTTACCATCAATAGGCCACGTGCTTAACATAACTTTTCTTGTTTATTGTCAGTCCCTCCCTTTTTCCACGGAAAGCCTGTTTTACTCACTATTTATTGTCCTTCCAGTATCTGGAACAGTCCCAGGTACAATAGAAACTGATATTTGTTGTTGAGAAAGCTGACAAGGTATAGAGAAACAAGTACTTTCATAGCCTGCTACTGAGTAAATGGTCCATTCTGGAAGTAGTTGTGTAGTATGTGAAAGTCTCAAAATTGTGCTTGCCCTTTGACTCGACATTTCTCCCTGTAGGTATTTATCACATACGGAAGTAGTTAAGGGTGTGCTAGAAGATTCAGCCACAGTGGAACGCTTTTAAAACTCTTGAACTCTGACATATTGGAAGGAATGTAGATTGTTTTTGAAATGTGGCAAGAACTATTTTGCAGAATTGGTCAAAAGAGACCTTCCTTTCTCTCCTGTTACCTTAGCTTTTAAAAATACTGTTTTGTTACTGACTTTTTAAACTTACTTCTTCCTAAAGCAAAACTAAAAGTGACCTATTCAATTTTTCCACAGGTCCCTTAATATGGACTTTGAAAATCAAGATAAAGAGAAAGACAGTAACAGTTCTTCGGGGTCTTTCGGTGGCAACAGCAGCAATAATAGTAAGGCGCTTTATGTCAGTTAACTTTCCTGCCTGTCGTCGCTTCTTGATTATTTCTGTAACCCAGTTCATCCACTGGGTTCAAGATGTACGTTTGCTGTAACAAGATCTAATCTGTATGGTATAATTTGTTAAGTTATTATGTTTTGAATCTGAGCTGATTTCCTGTGTGCTGCTTCTAACTCATGCCCAAAAGCTGGCTGCTGGGGTTCTTTATCCTCCCAAAGATAAGCAAGGTAGTTGACTATCTGCCCATTTATGACTTTATTTCAGTATTTTGTTGAGGCTGATAATTTTGTTAGTAAATCATAAATTCATTCCGTGACTCTTAAAGATAGCTACTTGAAGTACTTGTAAAAACTAAGTACTGTATCTCTTCTGAATTTAAAATCCTATAAGAATACTTGTTTAAAAAAATACACAGAAGGTGTGGTATATGGCAAATGCTCATATTCATTATTCATAATAGCCAAAAAGTAGAAACAACTCAAAGATCCATAAGATAGTGAATGGATTAACAAAATATGGCCTATTTATGTATAATATACATGAAATGCTGTTCAGCATTGAAAAGATTGAAGTACAGGCTGTACTATGGATGGAACTCAAAACACTGTTAAGTAAAAGAAGCCAGACAGAAAAGAATACATATTGTATGAGTCATTTATATGAAATTTCCAAAAAGGCAAATACATAGAGACAGAAGGTAGATTAGTGGTTGCCTGGGCCTAGGGATGGGAATAATTAACTAACCTGGCATGAGGAAATCTTCTTGAGTTGATGAAAGTGTACTAAAATTATTTTATGGGGATGGTTTCACACTTTGGTAAACTTACCACAAAAAATGAATTATACACTTAAACGAGTGAATTTTATAAATTGTACCTCAATATAGTGATAGAAAATTGGTAATCCTATCTAATAAAGATGTAATATGCAAATTGACCATCACTCCAACAAACAAGAAGGCTAGCAGGGGAGGGCAGTTGTGGGCGATCAGGCCAGCAGGAGAGAGCAGTTGGGAGGGACCAGGCCTGCAGGGGAGGGCAGTTGGGGGGGACCAGGCTAGCAGGGGAGGGCCGTTGGGAGGGACCAGGCCTGCAAGGGAGGGCAGGCAGTTGGGGGGGACCGGGCTGGCAGGGGAGGGCAGTTGGGGGGACCCAGGCCTGCAGGGGAGGGCAGTTGTGGGGGACCAGGCCTGCAGGGGAGGACAGTTAGGGGTGACCAGACCGGCAGGGGAGGGCAGTTAGGGGCTATCGGGCCGGCAGGGGAGTAGTTAGGCATTGATCAGGCTGGCAGGGGAGTGGTTAGGGGGTGAGGGTGATCAGGCCGGCAGGGGAGTGGTTAGGGGGTGAGGGTGATCAGGCTGGCAGGGGAGTGGTTAGGGGGTGAGGGTGATCAGGCCGGCAGGGGAGTGGTTAGGGGGTGAGGGTGATCAGGCCGGCAGGGGAGTGGTTAGGGGGTGAGGGTGATCAGGCCGGCAGGGGAGTGGTTAGGGGGTGAGGGTGATCAGGCCGGCAGGGGAGTGGTTAGGGGGTGAGGGTGATCAGGCTGGCAGGGGAGTGGTTAGGGGGTGAGGGTGATCAGGCTGGCAGGCAGAAGCGGTTAGGGGCAATCAGGCAGGCAGGCAGGCGAGCAGTTGGGAGCCAGCAGTGCTTCCTCGAGGGGTCTCAGATTGGAGAGGGTGCAGGCTGGGCTGAAGGACACCCCTCTCCCCCTGTGCAATAATTTCGTGTACTGGGCCTCTAGTGTTTATTATAAAAAGAAAATGAATTAGCAATAAGGAGATTTGGTTTGATAATATTAAGAGATTGGTATTGGATATCTACTATGCATTCGGCATTCTCTGAAGTATATTGAAAGATGCAAAAGTGTAAGAGCTGGTTCCCAAGCTGTCCCAGGGGCAGTGTGGGCAAAATCATTTCGAAAGGGTGATAAATGCTAAGACAGACATAGCAAACACCGCTTCCCATCTGATACCTACAGTAGATACTTCTGACCCTTAACATAGCCTCAGAATCCTTCTGAACAAGCACTTACCAGCAGCAGATCAGAGGAAATACTAGAGGTGAAGTCATTTTGACATATATATACAAAGAGAGTAAAGAGAGCCCAGCTGGTATTGCTCAGTGGTGTGAGTGTAGACCCATGAACCAAGAGGTCCCGGTTCTATTCCCATGGGTTGTGGGCTCAGTCCCCGGTGTGGGGCATGCTGGGGGCAGCCAGTCGATGATTCTCTCTCATCATTGAGGTTTCTGTCTCTCCTTCTTCCTCTCTGAAATCAATAAGAATATATTTTTTTAAAGAAAGTGTAAAGAGAAAGGCAAGTCAGGGTGAGCAACAGTGAATCAGATTAGTGAGGGACTCTTTTTCCTAGAAAAGGTGAGTTTGACTTGAAACAGTGAACTTGGATTGGTGGAGAAGTCGTTCCAGGTGGGAAGGACATAACAGCAGGCACAGAGAGCGAGTATGACCTACAGGTTAACATCACCATTGAGTAAGGAGGAAATACTAGGGATCGAATATAAAGTTAGATAGAAATATGGAGGGTCTTAGAGGTTACATTGGAGATCACTTAATAGCTACTTCAGTTTCTCTAGTTATTGTCATATCCCACCAATGAAATTGTACTTGCCCAGTTTTCACCCAGTTAAATGTTGTCCCCAGGAGTATAAAGTGTGCATGATAAATGCAGTGAGTAGGATCATTTAAGTATGAGTCTTTTCTTAAACTTATAACATAGATCCTTGTAGGAGATAGAATGCCATACCAGTAAATTACCAGGAGCCAGGTAAAACCCAGTGTCAAGATCTGATTTTCAGGTTAAATTATTAGCAGCTTGCTATCTATCAACATTGTAAGCCAAATCACTTTATACTAGTACTCTTTTTTAAAAAATATATATTTTATTGATTTTTTACAGAGAGGAAGGGAGAGGGATAGAGAGTTAGAAACATTGATGAGAGAGAAACACCAATCAGCTGCCTCCTGCACACTCCCCACTGTGGATGTGCCCGCAACCAAGGTACATGCCCTTGACCGGAATCGAACCTGGGACCCTTGAGTCTGCAGGCTGACGCTCTATCCACTGAGCCAAACCGGTTAGGGCTATACTAGTACTCTTGAAACTCTTTTAAAAATCCTGTATTATATAGCATATATGCAAATGAGTACTTACACCAGATTATAAATCTGTTCTACATTGCATCACAGAAATCTAAGAGAAATAAAATTAAGTACAATTTTATCCTCAAATAAATAAGTGGTTAAGTTAGTCCATACAGTGGAAAGAAGATATCTGCAACATCAGTTTTTAATTTCTCATTAATCAGCATGTAAAAAACAGGAAATGGTTGTTTAAATGGTCATTTTCTGAAGTCTACCTCCTATGTTATGCTGAATTATCCTCAACAAATATGTTTCTTCAGTGCCTAATCTGGGCCATGGATACCAAAAAGATAAGCACAGATTAAGCTAGAATGCAGTCCACACTCCACATAATGAAAGAAATGACCATTGTAGAGAAGGCCAGTACTTGATTATGGAGCATGACACCATTCCAGACTGAAGGGATAGCATGCATTTATCAAAAATCAAAGAAATGATAGCCTGAAAGATGAACAGAGAAATAGAAGAGATTGGGTAGGTGCTAAACAGATTGAAGTCACAAATGAGCAGCAGTGTGGAACTGGGGGGAAGCTTATAAGAAAAGGACTGAGTGTTGAAATTTTGTCAAGAGCCCTGGCCAGTGCCCTCAGTTGGTGGGACATTGTCCCATGCAATGAAAGATTGCTAGTTTGATTCCCGGTCAGGGCACATGCCCTGGTTTAGGGCTCCATCTCCAGTAGGGGGCGTGCAGGAGGCAGTCAAGCTCGATGTTTCGCTCTCCCTTCCTCTCTCTCTAAAAATCAATTTAAAAATCTTTAGAAAAAGAAAGATTTTGGCAAGAATGTTCTGAACCGTTTGAAGGAGAAAGTGAATGGTAGAAAGAGGTTTCTTAAAGGTTGTAGTTGCCTACTCCCAAAATAAATAAGAATCAAGACATCAAAATGAGTGGACGACAGCTAGGCATAACAGCATGGCTATTTCTCACAATGTTGAGTGGAAGAAGCCAGACACAAAAAAATACATATTACGTAATTCCATGTATGTAATAAGTTTTAAAAGGCAAAATAAATATATAGTAGTATTTTAAGGTGCATGCTTGGGTAGAAAACATATAAAGTAGAGCAAAGAAGAAAGACTCATGAAAGGCAGCTAACCCTTTGGAGGTAAGAGAGAGAGATTAGTGACGAGGAGGGCACAAGAAAGACTTCTGAGGTTGGCAAGGTTCTGTTTCTTGGCCTGGAAGAAATTAGCTATGTGATGATTCACTGTGCTCCTCACATTTGTTTCATACTCTTCTCTGTACGTGTGCTGTGTTTTACAGTAAAAAGAGTTAGAAAGGAGAGGGAGCAGCCCCTCAGGGTCCTCTCTAATTTTCCCTCCTCTTGCTCTTCCTCGTCACTACGCCTGCCCCAAGAAGTCTCTATAAAGATTTTTACCCCGGGCACATCAGGCCTTCATTTAATTAGTATTAAGTGGGGTTTTTTAAAGTGCCCCTCCCTTCCCATTATCTAATAAATTGAAGTCCTTTCCTAGGTTTTTCATGTAATTTATTTTAACTACGAGGATTGATGGAAACATACAGTTGGAATTCTCTTCATTAAGAAGGACATACATCTTTATCTCCCCATCTACACTCTAAACTTTGTAAGATCTGGAAATGACTTTTTAAAATTCCTCATGTTGCCTACTAGATAATAGGTGTTCAGTAAATACTTGGTTAAAAGCATGCTTCTCTCATGGAGGTACCAAATCAATAACTTTCTTAGCAGTTATCAGCAGTACACTGGTGTGTTGCTTGATGTCTGCTAATTATATGACCAGACATATAATTAGCCTATAGCCATGTTCACTGAATGCTAAACATGTCTCTGTACATAATTTGTAATTCTAACACCAGGCATTTTTCTTTTGTTGATGTTGGCTTTAAATATAATGCAGCTGCACTTAAGTCCTCCCAATTATGGCTGCTCTGTTTGCTTTGCTGTTTTGTTTTGATGTCCCTGGATTTTGGCTAAAATTGTTAATTACTAGCTCCTTTCCCTTCAGGACCATTTTCTACAGCCCTTTAAAAGTGCGGTATTAAAGTTGTGTACACTGTATTAGGCAGCATATGGTTGGCAACTAAAGGGGCTTAACTTGTCGTGTGACACTGCTGTTTGGTAAGCTCTCTTGGGCACCCTTCCTTAACACTAACGGTGGGAGCAGTGTCTAACACCCCAGTTAAAAATCTCTGCTTTCAAAAAAGAAAAAACTGCATTCAGTCTAATTCAAGAAAGGTTCTTTGTATTCAGTTTTGCGTTTTAATTGCAGAATGAATTTCTAAAATTTAGATTTATTATAAACAAATACTTCTCATGCCTGACTTACTAAACAGTATTTGTTCTAGCCAGCCATTCAGTTTTTCTGTTCATATTTTAAACGAATACAATTAATCTGTAGACTATATGATGCTTCATTTTACAGAAAAGGGGATGTATTTTAAGATTTATAGATTTCTTAAAAGACTTGTTTTTACCTTATAATAAAAATCATTCATTTGAGAAACCATTATTTTCTGTTGTGAAAGGCACCTGAAATTTGCCTACTCTAGTTCTTTGAACTATTGTAGAACACTAAGAAAACCCCACAAAATTAAGTGAAATATAGTTAGAGATTTCATAGAGTTTTGTCTTATAAATGTCCATAAGCTACCCCCTCCCCCAACCCCACCAAATGATCCGTGGACTATAGTGAGATACAGCATCCACCTCTTCTCCAGATCATTTCTGTATGTCTTTTTTTTTTTTTAATTTTTTTAAATTGATTTCAGAGAGGAAGGGAAAGAGAGATAGAAAATCAATGATGAGAAAGAATCATTGATGGGCTGCCTCCTGTACACCACTTACTGGGGATTGAGCCCACAAACTGGACATGTGCCCTGACTGGGAATTGGACCCAGGACCCTTCAGTCCACAGGCCGACGCTCTACCCACTGAGCAAAACTGGCTGGGGATAATTATCTATTTATTTATTTATTTTATTGATTTCAGAGAGGAAGGAAGAGGGAGAGAGAGATAGAAACATCAGTGATGAGAGAGAGTCATTGATTGGCTGCCTCTTGCACACCCCCTACTGGGGATGGAGCCCGCAACCCTGGCATGTGCCCTTGACTGGAATCGAACCCAGGACCTTCAGTCTGAGCTCAAGCCACTAAGCCAAACCGGCTAGGGCTTCTGTTTGTCTTGACATATAGATCACTCTTCCTAAATTGAATTACTCTATTCCTAAGTGAATTATTTGACTCATCTACCCAGCTAATAAGCAGTTTTGTTTTGTAGAAATATTTAATATTTTATTTCACCAAAATCCCTAAATAATGTTCTTAGGGACGGGTAAGTTTATTGAAGAACAATTTTTTTTTAAAATATATTTTATTGATTTTTTTTCAGAGAGGAAGGGAGAGAGATAGAGAGTTAGAAACATCGATGAGGGAGAAACATCGATCAGCTGCCTCCTGCACACCCCCTACTGGGGATGTGCCCGCAACCCAGGTACATGCCCTTGACCGAAATCGAACCTGGGACCTTTCAGTCCGCAGGCCATCGCTCTATCCACTGAGCCAAACCGGTTTCGGCCCAAAGAACAATTTTTAAATGTTGGTTGCTAATTGCAACCCTTTGTGTCTAGTTATGTTCATCCTGGGCTTGGGCCTGGGCATTGTAATTTTTTCTAAGCTCCCCAAGGTGATTCTGATGATCATCCAAGAACAGAGAACCACTGTGCTAAATACTATTTGTTCCTTAAAATGTTCCCACAAGATAATTTTTCTGATCTGCTGTTTTCAGATGTTTTGTTCTCTCCCTTTCCCCACCCCCAAAGTCAGCCCTCAACTATAGCAACAGTGAGGGAGAGTTATTAACATCGGCACATTAAACCCACGGATGATGGGAAATAATTCCAGTCAGTGGGTTTAAACTCCCTTTTACCAAGCCTGTACACAAAACCCCAAATGCACTCAAATTGACAACTCTGAATGTTTACTACCTTCGAATGTTCTTGATTCCGTTTCTGTTTTTGTTCTTGGCACCCTGTCACCTGGATGGCTAGCACCTTAGTTCAAGTATTTTTTGAGCAGCTACTGTAATGAAGGCATTCTGAGGAGAGCAGGTAGTTATAGTCTCCTCGGGCAAGAAAGATTTAGGCGGCCTACAGAATCTGTATCTTATATACTAGTCCCTAGAACTGTCTGCATTCTAATAAGTTAATGTATCTAAAGTACATGGCATGCTGTACATTAATATGTTCCCTTTTCTCTCTTTTAGGTATCCAAACTATTGACTCTACCCAGGCCCTGTTCCTTCCAATTGGAGCATCTGTCTCTCTCCTAGTTATGTTCTTCTTCTTTGACTCAGTTCAAGTAGTTTTTACAATATGTACAGCAGGTAAATTAATTTCTGTCTATTCTTAACATTAACCTAAAAGGAAATGTGTTCACCATTTTTTATCATTCAAAAGTTAAGATTTATACACTATGCCATTCATCAAGTTTTTCTTCATAAGTCTGGCTTTTCCTCCTCTCACCCCTCCTTGAGCCACTTGAGACACATATTTCAAACCTGCCAACATGTCTGAACAGAAGGCCAGGGGTTGAAACCTCGCGAGCTTTATGACACCAGAGCAGATTGCTTGGGCTGTGGCTCCTTGTCTGGTAGCTCACTAGAAGCCATTTGGCTGAGTGTCATCGGCACCCCTGACTGATGTTTCCACAGATAGAAAATCAAGGCAATTCGACTGTCGGCTCTCTGATCAGTTTTTACGCTCAGCAGCGATGGAAATGTATAATATATGAACAGAATGCTAGATTTGCTAGGAGTTAACCCCCTCGCCCGATATTTATCTTTTCTTATTGAGATAGAAGAGAATGAGAAAATCTACCTGTGCTTCCCCTACTTTCTTCAAATCAGGCACTTAAAAAAAAAAAAAAAAAGAGCTCATCTGTGCGATGCTAAAGGGAAATACTTTTATTCTCTGGTTAATTTGATTGTATCTATGTGCCAAGAAAAGTATTCTGGGAAATGATTAAGTTTCCATAAGTCATGCCATTTTTTATAATGGAAAAATAAATCATACACAACAAAATTTAACTATACATTTTCTCTCTGTAGTTCTTGCAACGATAGCTTTTGCTTTTCTTCTTCTCCCGATGTGCCAGTATTTAACAAGACCTTGTTCACCTCAGAACAAGTAAGTTGGGAATTTCCCCTAAGTTATAAACTTGTGGTTTTTTTCACACTTGCTAGCATTATTAGGAGCCTAACTTTTTTTTTTTTAATTTTATTGATTGATGAGAGAGAGAGAAATTTGTTCCACTTATTTGTTCATTCATTGGTTGCTTCTTGTATGTGCCCTGACCGTGGTTGGAACCCACAACCTTTGGACAATACTGACTGAGCTACCTGGCCAGGGCCAGGTCTAAATTTCTTGGTCTTGTATTGACTGGAGCTCACACATGCTAGAAAACTGGGAAGTGAGATGTTTGATTTTTAAAATTGGAAGATAGTAACACTTCCTTTTGCACCTTCTTGTAGCAGAGGAAATATAAACAAATCCTAGGAAGTCAGAGTCGGCGTAATATGCTTCCTGCTTAGCTTATTGAAAGATGAGAATTTTCCTTTTAAAGCACCACTTTCATTCTTTTACTAGTGAGTGAGTGGGATCTGAAAATAGTGGTTGACTGACATTCTTTGCCTTTTATCTCTGGTGACCTACAGTCACTTAGGGTAATCCCATTGTTCACACCTTAACCCCTACAGCTGCTCCATGGAAACCGAAGTCTCTTGTTGACGGAGATGCTGTATGCACTTGGGAAACTATCACTTGAGGCAGCTGATATTCCCAGGAATTAGTGATAATCAGATAGCTTTATTATCTTATAGTATTAATTCATCTTTGCTAAATGACTTGAATTAGTAACGTTCCTAAATATTTTCCTCATACAATAGAATTCCCCCTGTGCTTAGAATCTTCAAAGATTGATGTTGTCATTTTAACTTTCTAAAAACCCATGTTGATAATTTGGGATAAAAAGTACATTATCAGCCCTGGCCAGTTTGTCTCAGTGGATAGTGAGTGTTGGGCTGCCGACTGAAGGGTCCCCGGTTTGATTCCGGTCAAGGGCACACGTCTGGGCTGCGGGCTCAATCCCCCGTAGGGGGCACGCAGGAGGCAGCCCATCAATGATTCTCTCTCATCGATGTTTCTCTCTCCCTCTCCCTTCCTCTCTGAAATCAATAAAAATATATATTTTTAAAAGTACATTATCAGATGGGTTCAGACTCTGGTTTACTCCAAAGAGGTTTGGGTATTTTTATATCAGGGATCTCGTTACTTGCCTCCTACTCTAATATGGCCCTAATGAACCCTGATCATGAAGAGAGCTTGGTTAGTGAATAACATTTATTGCCCATTAGTCCAGTAAATGTCATGTGTTTCCAGGATTTCCTTTGGCTGCTGTGGACGTTTCACTGCTGCTGAGCTGCTGTCATTCTCTCTGTCTGTCATGCTTGTCCTCATCTGGGTTCTCACTGGCCATTGGCTTCTCATGGATGGTGAGTAACTAACATGTGAGAAGTTAAAATTCCAATTTAGTTTATAGGTAGTTACATTGGGTCCCCCCTTCATCTGCTGTCTGTATATTAGTCATACTACTTTTGATTACCATGGATATAAGGTATCCAAAGGTAGTGTTACTGAGTTTTTTTTACTATTTTTACCCACATTTTAAAGATTTTTTAAGAAGAGCTTTTTTGAGGTATAATTCACATACATACTACATATAACTTACCTATTTAAAGTGTATAATTCAGTGGTTTTTAGTATAATCACAGAGTTGTACAACCATCACTACAGTCGATTTTAGTGCATTTTTATCACCCACCCTCTAAAACAGAGGTCGCCAGCTGGTGGTCCGTGCGGTCTGGAAGTTGGCGACTGCTGCTCTAAACACATCCCCAGCAGCAGTTACTTTCCCTGCCCCCACCCAGGCCGTCACCCACTGGTCTGCCTTGTGTCTCTGAATTTGCCTCTTCTGGACAGTGCAGAACCAAGGATGTCCTTCTGCTCATGGTCAAACTGGATAGAATTTAACAAAAAGGATTTTAAACTCTATTTTTCCCCCCTGTAGTCCAGAATCAATAACATCGTCTTAATAGAGAAGAAATTTTAAACCTAAGGGAAACTAAAATCTTACTCTTCTATTTTAAGAGATTTTTTTCTCTCATAACTTATTTTAACCAGTGGAAGGATTTGAAATTTATATGTACCAAATTAACTAGTGAAAAACTCTAAGAAGCTGCATATTAACAGGGAAGAAACTATAGAGTGGATTGTAAGCTCTGTAAAATTATATTTGAACGGCATATGTTATTTTAATCAAAGGTGATAATTACAGAAAAAGTACTTTTTAACATACAAAATATATGATATACTTACTTTACTTATTTTTAAGTATGTTTTTTGCTTAAGAAGATAAAATTATAGTGATGGAGAATAGATAAGTGATTATGTGGAGAGAAGAGTTTGAATATAAAGAAATAGCACAGGGATTTTATTGGGGTGGTACAGCTGTTCCAAACACGGTGTGGTGGTAGTTCTATAAATCTGGTAGAATTCACAGAATCATACATCTAAAGAACAACTCTCAATTTTACTGTTTGATAACGTTAAAAATTTTAAACATATATATTTCTAACTATATAAATACATCATTTGTTTGTATATATTTGTTGTCATAGTTATTAAAAAAAATTTTTTTTTGAGTGCCTACCATATACCAAATATTCAAAGTCAAAAGTGGTTCCCTGAGGTTACAGGTCAGATTAACCTTTAGACTTACATTCAGTCTTTAATGACGCAGAATGGGAAGACCGGGTCAAAATCACCAGTGCCTTCTCCCTGCTGTGATTCACCTTGGCTGATTTCTGACAACTTTGGTCTTATTTTAGCATCAGACATTGCCATATAAAAAATATTCACTGTGATCATTTGCTTCAGAACTTCAGTGCCCATTGTGCATATAAGCGTTCTGAAGCACAGTGTTTCAGATGTTCAGGTGCTTGTCAGAACTGCTACATTTTCCAAATGGAGTATCCGTGCTGTCGGTATTCTTAGCAGTTGGTGTTTGGTACTTCCGTGCTTCTGGAGGTTGATAAGAGTAAGTTGAGAAGCAGACATTACATCCAGGACTCACACTCGCTGCTCGCCCAGCTTGTGGGAGGAGGGTGATGCCTGTTTTATATACTAGTATACTAGGTGTTGAGAGTGACGCCGTGGCTGGTGTGTTTGACTTTTCCTGAGATTAACTCGATTTCTGTAGTAGGATGGGTGAACTGATAGCACAGGTATAAACTGAGCACTTATTGTACTCCACCTGCACAAGCGTTATGTGAAATGAGACAGTGAAGCTCCAGGTGCCACTTTTTCAACTAGAATAAACTTAAAGCAGTAATCACCCCCCCAGGACGAATGGGAGATTTTGACATCATTTTCTGTCGTTATTGCTATTTCCCAATACTTGTCCAAAAATGTCTTCTTCTATCAGGTTGCATTGGTTAAACTACCCTTGTGAGCAAGTATAGAGTTTTCCCTCAAAAAAAAAAAAAAAAAAAAAAAAAAAAAAAAAAAGCGGTGGGGGGAGCCTTTGAGTTTTTTAATTGTTTTTCAGATTAATGATTAGTGTGTGTTTTCTCCTATTATAGGAAATGTAGCTTTCTAGCCATGGTCTTTAACGTTCTCAAATATGTTTTTCTCTGATGGAGAAATTATCTTTCCAGACTTCTCTGCAGCATCAGAAATCATCTGGTAGGCAGTGATTTGGTGGTAGTTTTTTTAAATGAGTGTTTCTTAATTAAAGCCTGTTCTTTGAAGTTAATTTAGAGTGAAAACAGAATGGTAAATGTGGTTGTTTTAGGGCTAGGCATGATGTATATTTTCAGGGTTATACTAAGAAGCATTAATATTAAGAAGAAACTTCACAGATTTCTTGAACTAAATCTAGAGCTTTTTAAAATCTACTCTGTTTCATCTGGTAAATGAACCTTTTAAATTTGGGGAAGCTTGAAGGGTTGGCCAGTAGGCGGTGTGGTGTGTTAGCGAAAAGCTGATGAATCTGTGCCCACATACGTAGTGTTCAAGGACCGCTTAACCAGGGTCACAGTCTTCATCCCCTGACCAGTTCAGAGACTGGAAGAGGCTTCACAGATGTCTAGCCAGCCCTTCACTCTACAGCACTTGCCTCTAAGCTGTGATCGGAAAATGTTTAGTGTCAGAAATCTAGAAATTAGTTGTTTTGTTTTAAGATACTAGACTCTAAGTGCCAGAGTCTCAGAGTCTAGTATCTAGAGATCTTAGAAGCAAGACTGCTTAAGACCTTACAAGTCACATGATCCTTTTTAAGAACAGTTAAGCTCAGTTTGGTGTCATTGTCTTTGTCCTTCGCCTGCTGGTTGTAGAAGACAAGGTAATAGCAGAGATTATATCAATAATAAATTGAAAGTAATTATAGCGAAGTAGCTAAGATTAATAATTTACTTCCTAACACTGCTGCTTCATTTACATTTAAGCAGAAGGTAAGTTTGTTGGTGAAGCCATCAGGGAGTCTTGGAGCTTCTCAAGCAGCATGGAGCAAGGGGAGGCATCATCTCTCTTCATTTGGGCTGGGAAAAGCCCTTAGGACAGCGGTTCTCAACCGGTGGGTCGAGACCCCTTTGGCGGTCGAACGACCCTTTCACAGGGGTTGCCTAAGACCATCCTCCATATCAGATATTTACATTATGATTCATAACAGTAACAACATTACAGTTATGAAGTAGCAACAAAAATAATTTTATGGTTGGGTCACAACATGAGGAACTGTATTTAAAGGGCCAGAAGGTTGAGAACCACTGCCTTAGGAGAAAGGAAGATTGTTCAGAGTTACATGAATGAAAGAATGAAGAAAAAGAGAGGCAAACTAGATGAATAGTTGTTTCAGTGGTAAGACATAGCTGGTAGCAATATTCATTTGGGTGTAGGAGTGATACTCATTCAAAAGACTTATATTAAGAACCTTCTCTGAAAGTGCTCAAAAGGAATGGTTTCTGCCTCTTCAAACATGGAACTTCAAGGACAGCGGGGAGACTTGGTTGGCACGGAAAGAGGTTATTGCTCACTGGAGAGGAGGAGAGGTTGAAGAATAGGAATAGCCCTGCTGGTGTGGCTCTGGTTGAGCGTCAACCCATGAAACAGGAGGTCACGGTTCGATTCCTGGTCAGGGCACAGGCCCGGGTTGTGAGCTCGATCCCCCGTAGGTGCCATGCAGGAGGCAGCCAATCAATGATTCTCTCTCATCATTGATGTTTCTGTTTCTCCCTCTCCTTCCCTTCTCTCAAATCAATTTTTAAAAAAAAAAGGAAAGAAAGAAAGAAAAGAATAGAGATACAGGGAGATGGATCCTGTGGCCAAGCCTGTGTGCACAGCACTCTTCTGTGTGAGCTGTGCCTGAGGGTGCATGGCTGTGTCATAGACTTGATCCCCTCAGAGGAGGGAGCCTGGGGGCCTTAGGGCAGGACATGATGTGAACTGATTTTTACAGAGGACATGGGAGAGGAAGTGTGGGGAAGCTCGACCAAGGTTTGCAGTAACAATAAGGACTCACACCACACAATGGCTCCCAAGTGAGGTACCTAAATGAAGACGTGATAAACTGAAAATGAACTCAGAGTTTCTTGTTTGGAAGCTTAGAGATAGAATGACATTGTCTAGAGCAGCAATTTTTGCGAGAATTTTTAAAACACGCAATACCTGACTGTTAGGGGCACGGACCTCTTTTCCCTTAGATTGTCAAATTAAAAAATGGCAACAGCCAACACAACAATAGCCATCCAGTGTGAAGTAATCAAAATTATACCTATTTTTCTTGTCAGATTGGCAAAAAATATATTTTTTGGTGTGCTGCAGAATTTTAGTGATTAGTTTATGGGTGCCATGAGATGAAATGTTGGAAAATCGCTGGTCTAGAGTCATGGAAAATTCTGTCACTGAGCAGTTGTCTTGTCAATGCTTGGTTTGGCCTAGGTAAGTAGGTTTAGCATAAGATGAGTGATTAGGCATGGAGTGATGCTTAGAGACCTGTCAAGGTTCCTGCTGGTTTAGGATTAAGTGATTGAATGGTCAATTGAATAGGAAAGTTCTGAATGGACCAGTCACCTGCGTGTGTTAGAGGCAGATACATTGAACCTTGGGAGCCTGCCCTTTTGCTTGTCTGCCCAGTGGGTTCCCGTGCCCTCTGTCAGTTATCAGCAGATGGTCTTCTGACCCTCACTGCCCACTGCAGGTCTTCATTTCTTCCTTTGTTCCCTTGATGCTTTCCACTCCATGTACTCACTTGTAAGTTCCTGAAAAGATCAACATCACTGCAGCCAGCATTCCTAGTTTGGTCTGGTCTCTGGTCATTAGTTCCCAGCCTCTGTCCCAGGGGCTCCCTTCCTCACTGACCACTCCTGCTCCTTGGGCCAGCAGAGCTTATGCTGCCAGATTATTTATTGACAGCACAGCCAAACCTCGTTATTAAAAAATTAGCGGGGGTTGATTATAAGGGGCTCTTAAGTACATTTCTTCACGCCTTGAACATATTTCAGCTTGCAACTTGAAAAGTTTCAATCTTTGCAAAGCCTAATTGACTAGTACAGTCCGTTATATTCCTTTGAAATGGCATGAATTGGCATATATTTTACCAGTTTGGTTCTGAAGGAGACCCTACTAAAATGGCATCTAGATTATTATAAAGTCAGGCATTAGGTCTTCATTACATCTCTCCAAAATACACACTGGAGCCCAGTGAATGCCTGATAATAAAAATGACAAGAATAGAGATGGTTTTTCTTCCTAATTTTACTGTTTTTCCAACCCTTCTCTGTTGTCGGGATGGGAATTACTTTTCTGTTTCGGCAGCACCATGCCTGAAGTAGGAACTCACTAAATATTAGTTGAAGTGCTATATCCTGGGTATGCCCAACTGTTATACATGATGCCTCGTTTTATTATGTTTCACTTTATTGGGCTTCACAGATACTGCATTTTTCACAAACTGAAGGCGGACCCTCCGCTAGCAAAAAGAATATGACCCTTTATTGTGATACTCACTTTATTGTGGTAGTCTAGTCTGCGACCACACCCATAATGCCTCTCAGCTATGCCTGTATCTGCTCACTTTGTTACATACATTGACAATTTACCAAATTTTTTAAAATGATACACACCTGTAATATGGCTTTACTCACTTTTCTTAGACTAATTTGGAATTTGAAGCTGATAGAACATAATTTTTCATTTATTCAGCAAATATTTGTCGAATGTCTACTCTGTCAGTTGCTGGGGATCCACAGGAACAGATAAGCCATGGTTTCTGTTTACTAGGAGCACACAGCTTAGGAAATAAACTATGTATGTATAAATAATGATACTATTGTAAATGGACGCAAAGAAAACAGCAACTTCATCTGGCCAGGTCAGGAGGCTTTCGGTCCTGGCCTCTTAAGAACGAGGATGAATTTTCTAGGGAAAAAGCCCAGGTCAGGGCCCTGTGGGCAGAGCATGAAGGAACATGGTGTGAGTTGAACAGTGCATCACATTCGAGTGGCCTCAGAGCAGCAGGAAGTGCACACTGAGGGCAAGGGCTGCTCAGTGGAGAGTGCCCTCCCGTTCCTTGCTGCAGGGCCTGGCCAAGCAGTTCTCCTGGCATCTGCTTCGGGGAGAGCCCACAGGACTCTGTAGGAATCAGGCCTGGGTTCTCAGAAGACCGGAGGGAGAGAACTGGAGGCAAGGAGAGACCATTCATCTGTCAGGCCGTCCTAGACTCCAGGGATCGGATGGGAGCCTTGCCCTCGAGGACCTTACATTTTAGTTGTGAGGAGAGAGAATTTTAAAAAGATACATCATGTACCAGATTTTGAGAGGTGCAAGGATAGAGGAATGAACTGCTGGAACAGTGTCCCTGAGTAAATGAAAGGGGATGCCATAGAGGGTGAGTTAACTTGAAAGCAAGGAGCAAGGATGATGAATCTGCAGCGATGGGGGAGGCAGAGGCCAGAAAGCGCAGGCTGAGCCTGTCTTGGAGCTTCATCAAAACAGAACCTCCTGGGTCCTATAGTGTGAGAGAAGGGATTTCCCCGAATACCAGCAGGTCACAACGGGCTGATGTGGGCACTTCTGCACTGTAGGGTGTACATTCTTAGACCAGAGCTGAAGGCTGCCTGGTTTTTGAGGGGACTTACAACTTCATTGGGTTTACAAGCGAATAGCGTGTGGGAAGGGGCTGGGCCGTGCTGCACTCTGACTGCTGTCTCCTCCCCAGCCCTGGCCATGGGTCTCTGTGTCGCCATGATCGCCTTCGTCCGCCTGCCCAGCCTCAAGGTCTCCTGCCTGCTTCTCTCAGGGCTCCTAATCTATGATGTCTTTTGGGTAAGTGTCTATTGAAGCCACTGCTCTCCTTTTTGTTTAATTGGGGTCAAGCATCTAAAGTCTGGCTGGCCAGGGTACTTCCTGTCTACAGCCACTCCCTCCAGTCCTGAGCTGTCTGTGTTACAAGGTGAGCCGGCAGCTGATTGACATGTGTTACAGAAGACAATACATGATAGTTATGGTGGAAGAAAGAGTAGGCAGAGTTCTCTGCCTCAAAGCATGCAGTCACAAAAGCTTGATGGCCCTCGCCGATTCGGCTCAGTGGATAGAGCATCAGCCCGAGAAGTGAAGAGTCCCGGTTCAATTCCGGTCAAGGGCAGGCACCTTGGTTGCAGGCTCCATCGCCAGCCCTGATGTTGGGGATGTGCAGGAGGCAACCAGTCAATGTCTCTCTCACATCATTGTTTCTCTCTCTCTCTGTCTCTTCCTAAAAATCATTGGAAAAATATCCCCGGGTGAGGATTAACAAAAACAAAGGCTTGCTGTCACAGTTTTGTGCAGCTCTGCTCTTACGAACAAAAAGGACAGGTTGCTCTAGCTCCCTCTCTTAAAGGAGACTCTCTCCTTGCCAGGTGTTTTTCTCCGCCTACATCTTCAATAGCAACGTCATGGTGAAGGTGGCCACCCAGCCGGCTGACAATCCCCTCGATGTGCTTTCCCGGAAGCTGCACTTGGGGCCCAATGTTGGGCGTGACGTTCCTCGCCTGTCTCTGCCTGGAAAACTGGTTTTCCCGAGGTAGGACTGACACGCCAGGCTCAAGACAGCCAGCACACGGCCTTCCGGTGCCTTGATTAGTCGGTCTTTGTCATCCACAGTCTAATCCTAGACTAGAAAGGGTGAGTCAGCATCTCCATCTTACAAAAGGAAGAGAATGTTGACTTGCAAAGGTTTATCACTAAGGGATACAGGTGCTGCTTTTTATTATTGATTAATGTTGTCAAGTAACCATAGGTTACTACTATTAATTCTCTCCAGCCAACTTCAAAATATATTAACAGGAGATTCTGGATCTTTTTACTTCTAAGACATTTGTAAAAATATGGCCTAATGCTTAAATTACACAGTTCCTGGTAATAGAATCCTGAAAAAATTAATGTGTTGCTTTAATCTCCTGTGTCTGGTAGTAGTTGGGTGCTTATTTGATGTCTCAGCAGTGAAGGTGTGACAAAGAGTGAATTGCTTGGCATTTCTAGAGTTGGCAGTGCTTATGCCGTCATCTACAAGGTGCTCCCCGAAGCACTGAGGGGCGGGGGGAAGACTTCTATTGCTAGTGCTCTTGTGGCTTTTAATCTCTAAACTCTTAAAACCTTGCATGCAACCAGTAGAGATTCCCATCTGCCATTCAGATAAGTTCTCTGACTTCTTAAAAAGCTGACACTGCCCCGAGGAGGAGAGGGGGGTTTTACAGCGTGGCATCCCTGACCTGTGACTCTGCCTTCCAGCTCCACTGGCAGCCACTTCTCCATGTTGGGCATTGGAGACATTGTGATGCCCGGACTCCTGCTGTGCTTTGTCCTTCGTTATGACAACTACAAAAAACAAGCCAACGGTGACTCCTGCGGTGCCTCTGGACCCGCCAACATCTCTGGACGCATGCAGAAGGTCTCCTACTTTCACTGCACCCTCATCGGATACTTTGTAGGTAAGAGAGAATCAGACACTGCATTTGGATCCCCTCTCTGGCTGTCCTCCCCCCGTAATTAAACCAGGTCTTCTAGCTGCAGACCCGGGATAGAAGGAGAGCAGCAACTGCTTGCTGTTAATAGCTAACCACCCAGGAAAATACCCCTCAAGCCCATGAGATGATAGGTGCTGACTACTGGCCAGCCCAGTTCGCTGTCTGAAGAACATCGTAGTAAGAGTACGGTTTGGCCTCAAAGCCAAGAACACCTACCACACAATGATCATGGGTCAGTCTACATGGTTCATTAAAAACCTCAAGTTTATTGAAGTCGTGTCTATTTCCCTTCATTTGTTCTGTCACATCAGACTCTCCCTGGCTAGCTTTTCTCCAGCAGCTCACCTACCGGCAGGTAGGAATAGTGGTAACCCGTCTGCCACTGCAGTACCTCCTACAGCAGGACTTCACTAATTCCACTGCACTTTCATATACATGGTTCATTTCCGTCTCAAACTCTAAGGGGGACAGAGCAGAGGGGTTACCCCATCAGACAAATTGGGGGAGGCTCCATGAGGTGAAAGGTCTTAACCAAGGTTACAAAGGTTTGGAAGTAGCAGAGTTGAAACTTGAACTCTGCTCCTTCCAAGTCTTTTGCCTCCAAGTCTGACATCACATACCACAGCAGACAAAGGGAGGCCAGGCACACTGAGGGCTGCAGTGGGAGTTGGTCACAGGTCCTTGGAATTGAAGGATTTCTTCTTAAACTGTGCTGTCCATGTTTCTTTAAACTGCTCGAACTAGACATTTTATAACCTCCCCATTGGATGGATATGCCTGCTACCTGGATGTGTCTTGGCACTAGAGGTTGTATATATCTAATGTGAGTGTCCTCTCGGGGCTGGCCCTTGCCCTTACTCTCGAATGCTTCTCTCTCCTCATAGGTCTGCTCACTGCCACCGTGGCATCTCGCATTCACCGAGCAGCGCAGCCTGCCCTCCTCTATTTGGTGCCATTTACCTTATTGCCACTCCTCACAATGGCCTACTTAAAGGTGAGAAGCAGTTACAAACCTGTGAGAGCAATAGCTTGGCATTGGTCCTGGATTTGGGTATGTATGCTCCTTGCTGGAGGTGGTTCTTCATAAGCCCCTGATCTTGACAGTGGGGTCTTGTTCTTTCATTTATTAACCTGATATTAGCATCTTCCAGATTCTGGCAGCACTGAGTCAGACCACTGCGCCCCCTGCTCCTGGGTTATTAACGGGCGTCCTACAGCTTCAGAGACTTCTCTTAAAAGCAGCGCCCTGTTGCCACCAGCAGCTCTTTTAATGCTCTGCATTCAGGTTTGAAGTAGGAGCAAGCAGCAGGGCCAACACACCCACCTGGCCCTTCTCCAGCGAGCTGCTCTGCAGGCAGGCCTAGTGCCCCAGGTGCTGTAGGGCCTGCTTGGCTACACATGGCTTTCCAAAACTACCAGGCACTTAACGCCTGCACAGAGGCCTCTCCTACAGGGGACCACTCAGTACAGCAAACCAGATAAAGAGTAGGGAGCCGAGGAGTTCCCCGGGGTCAGAGGGCCGGTGAGCACCATCACTGACGTTTCCTCTCTCCACCTCCGTACGGTGGGTAGGGCTCTGTCCTGCCTGCAAGGTCTCTGCACTGTGTTCCTGGACACATGGCTGGAGCTATTTCTGCCTGAACAAAGGAGCAGGGAGGATCAACAGGCCATTATTGCACACACCTGGCCTCCCCCTCTGGCGGTGCTCAGCTCAGCAGGCCACTGCCCCAGACCTTAAGCAGCCACTCAGCTCCTGCCCACCTGCTGAAACCACCCTGCAGGCACAGTCCACACTCAGCACACTGCTGCACAGAGCCCTTCCCGAAGGCTGCAGGAGGTGGCAGTTTTCTCTAACATAGAAGCCAACATAGAAAGTCAAGACAACAAAGGAGATAATTAACTAAACAAGGATAGTTTAAGGAACCTCTGAAAACATCAGGTGCTCAAGTGTTTGCATTATAGGAATTCTAGAGAGAGAAAGGAACAGAAACTTTATTTTAATATGGAATGCGTCACATATTTGCGTGTCATCCTTGCACAGGGGCCATGCTAATCTTCTCTGTATCGTTCCAAATTTTAAAAAGCAGTGGCTGAAAACTTTTCTAACCTGGGAAAGGAAACGGATATCCAGGCTTAGGAAGCACAGAGAGTTCCAAACAAGATGAGCCCAAAAGACGCATACAATTAATTAAGCCCAGCCTGCACCCTCTCACAATCTGGGACTCCTTAGGGGATGTCAAAGAGCCAGTTTCAGCCCGATCCCCACAGGCCAGGCCGAGGGACCCCACCGGTACATGAATCTGTGCACCGGGCCTCTAGTATAAAAATAAAATATCCTATCTGATAAAGAGGGAATATGCGAATTGATTGCCACACCCTCACAAGATGGCAGCACCCAGTCCCCTCAGCCCTGCCTCATCCAGCCTCAGTCCCACCTCACCCAGTCCCCTCAGCCCCACAGGGGAAGTCAGTTGGGGATAGTTGGGGATGATCATGCTGGCAGGGGAGCAGATGTCAATCAGGTGAGTAGGCAGAGTGGTTAGGGGTAATCAGGCAGGCAGGCAAGTGGTTAGAAGCCAGGAGTCCCTGCACGATCAGGCCTATACTGGCAGTCGGACATCCCCTGAGGGGTCCCAGATTGGAGAGGGTGCAGGCTGGGCTGAGGGACACCCTCTCCCCCTCCCATGCATGAATTTTGTGCACCAGGCCTCTATTTTAATACATAATAATACAAGAATAAACTCTTTCACATACCCACAATTGTAAACCTACTTTTGCCTCACCCTCTGTACTTTAACACCTATCAGTTTAAAATAGACTGCTATACATAATGTCATGGTTAATGAAAACCTACAAAAGATACATACAAAAAGAAACCTAGCCCTAACCGGTTTGGCTCAGTGGATAGAGCGTCGGCCTGCAGACTCAAGGGTCCCGGTTCGATTCCGGTCAAGGGCATGTACCTTGGTTGCAGGCACATCCCCAGTAGGGGGCGTGCAAGAGGCAGCTGATCGCTGTTTCTCTCTCATCGATGTTTCTAACTCTCTATCCCTCTCCCCTCCTCTCTGTAAAAAATCAATAAAATAAATTTAAAAAAGAAAGAAAGAAAGAAACCTAAACTAAACAAACCAGTAAAGCACAAGGAAAGAGATCAAGAGAAGAAAGGAATAGAGGACAAGTACAAAACTGGACAAAATGGCCTAAGTACATGCTTATCAGTAGTTATTTTAAACTACAGGCCCGATGCACAAAATTCGTGCAAGGGGCTCGGCCCTCGCGGCCCCGGCTGCCTCTCAGCCCCACAGCCCTGCCCACTGGTCATTCCGAAAGGTCGTTCCGCCGTCCGGTCTAATTAGCATATTAGCTCTTTATTATATAGGATGTAAATGGACTAAATGCTCCAATAAAAAGACATAGGGTGGCTGAATGCTGCTTACTTCAATTTCAAAGACATAGACTGAATGTAAAGGGATGGAAAAAGATATCCCATGTAAACAAAAATGAAAAGAAAGCTGAAGTAACAATATGTCAGATTGAGAGCAACTAAGATGGCGGCATAGGTAAACACCGGGAAATTGTCGCCTCACACAACAATTGAAAATTACCGCAAAGGACTGAGCAAACATCATCCAGAACAACAGGAAGGCTGGCTGAGTGTAAATTCCACAACTAGAAGGAAAGAAAAGCACGCTGAGAGCCAGAGGCGCTGCGGAGGTGAAGTGCAGAGGTACGGCGGCTCGCGCGCGCGAGGAAAGGGGGTGGCGCCTGAGGACGCGGCTGTCTTTTTGAATCACAAACTCCCGACGGCTCTGAACTCCGGTTCCGGGAAGTCTCTGGGGACCCAGGTCTCATACGGGGAGAAGCTGGTCTGTCCGGCAGCGAGCGAACTTGAGGGCGGCTTTCCCTCAGAGGTGCTTGCAGCCGTTACCGGAACACTGAGACCGGAACACTGAGACGCGCGACTCCGCCCTCTGACTCCCTGAGACCCCGTCCCACCCAGGCTGCGGCAGAGGCTTTTGCATGTGAATGTACCTAACTGCAGCCGAACCAGGCAGACCTGGAACTTCCAAGAGAAGGCCCAAGGCCCCGCAGCGGCTTGCATTGCTTCACAGCTGAGCCTCTTCGTGGCTCCTGCTGTGTGGCCTCAGGCAGAGGCTGAATTAGCACCTCCTTAGATCCAGGAGCCACTGTACCCAGTGGTCAGAGGGGGTCCATCCAGACTGCAACTCCTCAGATCCATAAGGGACGCACTCAGGGAGCAGACTCAGTGAGCACCAAAGCCCCACTGAAGCAAGTCTTGCCCCAGAAGGGTGTCTTCAGCACAGAAGTTCTCCCACTTTAGACACAGCTGATTCTCACAGCCAATTGGCCTGGAGGTCAATTCCTCCCAGTGATTCTACAACAACCAAGGCACCAAGAGTGCAGCAAGAGTGTCCACCCCAGGTAACTGGGGAGGCTGAGCTACTGGGCCCTACAGGACACCTGGCGCACAGGGCCACTCTATCAACACAGGGAAGCTGCCAAAATGTGGAGACAAAGAAACAGGTCACAAATGGCAGAAATGGAGGAAAGCAAACGATTGGATATAGAGTTTAAGGCCACGGTTATAAGGTTTTTCAAGAATTTTATGGAAACCGCCGATAAATTTAATGAATCCCTCAATAAGTATAGGGAGACCATGGAGGACATGAAAAAGGACCAACTAGAAATTAAGCATACACTGACTGAAATAAAGAATAATTTACAGAGATCCAGCAGCAGAAAAGAGGATCCCAAGAATCAAGTCAAAGATTTGAAATACAAAGAAACAAAAAATACCCAACCGAAAAAGAAAAAAGAAAAGAGATTCCAAAAATATGAAGATAGTGTAAGGAACCTCTGGGACAACTTCAAGCGTACCAACATCAGAATTATAGGGGTACCAGAAGGAGAGAGAGGGCAAGATATTGAAAACCTTTTTGAAGAAATAATGACAGAAAACTTCCCCTACCTGGTGAAAGAAATGGACTTACAAGTCCAGGAAGCGCAGAGAACCCCAAACAAAAGGAATCCAAGGAGGACCACACCAAGACACATCATAATTAAAATGCCAAGAGCAAAAGATAAAGAGAGAATCTTAAAAGCAGCAAGAGAAAGACAGTCAGTTACCTACAAGGGAGTACCCATACGACTGTCAGCTGATTTCTCAACAGAAACCATGCAGGCCAGAAGAGACTGGCAAGAAATATTCAAAGTGATGAATAGCAAGAACCTGCAACCAAGATTACTTTATCCAGCAAAGCTATCATTCAGAATAGAAGGTCAGATAAAGAGCTTCACGGATAAGAAAAAGCTAAAGGAGTTCATCACCACCAAACCAGCTTTATATGAAATGCTGAAAGGTATTCTTTAAGAAGAGGAAGAAGAAAAAGGAACTCTTACCATTTGCCACAGCATGGATGGAACTTGAGAGCGGATAAATACCACAGGATCTCACTCATTTGTGGAATATAATGAACAACATAAGCTGATGAACAAGGACTGATCCAGAGACGGAGAGGCATTGATTGGACTGTCGGGACTTGGAGGGAAGGTAGGGGAGGGTGGGGGTAAGGGGGAAAGATCAACCAAAGGACTTATATGCAAGCATATAGGCCTAACCAATGGACATGGACAACGGGGGGGGGAGGGCATGAGCGGGGGTGGGGGGGGTGGGGGGTAGAGGGTAACGTGGGGACAAGGACACATATGTAATATCTTAATCAATAAAAAATATATTAAAAAAAAAATTCTTCAAAAAAACAAAACAAAAAAAAACAATATGTCAGATTAAATAGATTAAAAAAAAGAGAAAGAAGGACATTACATAATTGTAAAGGAGTAATCCAAGGAGAGGATATAATAATTGTAAATATCTGTGCATCTAAAGAATGTAGGGTGTCCCAAAATTCACGCAAGAAGTAATTTTGATAGAAAACACAGGTTTATAATTAAAAATTGTAAATTTTTTATTGATTCATAAAGTATATAGTATAGGGTTATGTATGGAATAGCACATCGGGTAAATGGCCTCCACAGCTTTGCTGGAACATACACAAAGCCGTGGTCTTCATTGGTCTTCATTGTCCCTGCTCCTGGGCCATAATTGGTACTTGGTAATGCTTATCAAATTGAAGGGATTGAAATCAGAGGGCAACAGATATTAGAATCTGATTCAATAAACCAAGTAAAATTAGGCTTTTATTTTTTGTTGTTGTTAATGCTCACACAGAATTCAAATCTTGCATGAATTTTGAGACACCCTATATAAAGCAATTATTAATGGACATAAAGGGAGAAATTAATATAACAATAGTAGGGATTTTAATACCCCATTCACATCAATGGATAATTATCCAGACAGAAAATAAATGAAATAATGACCTCAATGTCATTATTAGATGAGATTGATTTAATAGAATATTTTATCACAACTTTTCAAAATTTGTGGTATGCACCGAAAGTAGTTCCAGGAGGGAAGTTCATAGCTGTACAGGCCTCCCTCAAGGAACAAGAGAACTCTCAAACCATCTAAACTCTACACTTAAACCAGAAAAAGAAACAAAACCCCAAGTAAGTAGGAGGAAGGAAATAGTTAAGATGAGAGTGAAAGGAAACAAAAACAGTAGAAAAGATCAGTACAGCAAAGAGAGCCGGGATGTGGGCTCTCAGCAGAACTTGACTCTCCTGTCACCCTAGGCCTCGGACTTCCAGCCTCCAGAACTCACAGAACTAAGTTTCTGCTTATCAGCCAAAAGAGCCCGCATGAATGAAGAAAGTTATAACTGATACCACAGAAACACAAAGAATCGTTAAAGAATACTAGGAACAACAATATGCCAGCAAATACGATAATCTAAAGGAAATGGGTCAATTTCCAGAAGCATGTAACTTTCTAAGACTGAACAAAATGTAAACAAGCTGTGAAGTACTAGCAATGAAATTGAAGCAATAATAAAACTCCCAACAAATAAAAGTTCAGGAGCAGGTGAATTCTACCAAGTGTTCAAAGAAGAAAATTAATACTTACCCTTGTTGCCCTAACCGGTTTGGCTCAGTGGATAGAGCATCGGCCTGCGGACTCAAGGGTCCCAGGTTCGATTCCGGTCAAGGGCATGTACCTTGGTTGCGGACACAACCCCGGTGGGGAGTGTACAAGGGGCAGCTAATTGATGTTTCTCTCTCATTGATGTTTCTAACTCTCTATCCCTCTCCCTTCCTCTCTGTAAAAAAATCAATAAATTATATTAAAAAAAAAATACTTACCCTTGTTAAACTATTTCAAAAAAATTGAAGAGTTAGGGATGCTTACAAACTCATTTTACAGGCCAGATTACTCTGATACCAAAACCAGATAAAGACATTACTAAAAAAGAAAATGGCAGGTCAGTACTCTCTGTAAACCTAGAAAAATTGTCAAGCCAGATTTAGCAGTACATTAAAAGGATTATACATCATGACCAAGTGGGATTCATCCCAAGGATGGTTGACCATCCATAAACCAATCAATGCATCGCATCACATTAACAAAATAAATGATAAAAACCCTCAACAAAGCGGGTAGAGAAGGTATATCTCTCTCTCAATACATTGAAGGCCATAGAACCTGCAGGTAATATACTCAGTGGTGAGAAGCCGAAAGCCTTTCCTCTAAGATCAGGAACAGGCAGGGGTGCCCATTGTTCCTTCTGTTCAGCATAGTAGTACGAGCCCTCGCCACAGCAGTCAGACAAAAAACAAAAGGCACCCAAATGAGAAAGGCGGAAACAGAACTCTCAGTTTGCAGATGGCATGATACTATTATAGAAAACCCTCAAGACCTCACCAGTGAACTACTTGAACTAACTAGTGACTTCATGGAGTTGCAGGACGGAGTCACTGTACAGAAATAGTTGCATTTCTATACGTCAGTAATGAACAATCGGAAGAAATGAAGACAGAAATTGTAAAATTGCAAATTTACAATTGCATCAAAAAGTGTAAAAACACCTAGGAATAAATTTAACCGAAGAGGTAAAAGACCTGAAGACTGAAAACTGTAAGACACTGAAGAAAAAATTGAACAGGACACAAATAAATGGAAGGATATACCTTGCTCATAGATTAGAAGAATTAATAGTGTTAAAATGTAGCATACAGATTCAGTGCAAGCCCTATTAAAATACCAAAGACATTCTTCTCAGAATTAGAACAACTAATCCTAAAATGTATATGGAACCACAAAAGACCCCAAATAGCCAAAAAAATATTGAGAAGAACACATCCTGATATCAAATTATATCACAAAGGTACAATAATCAAAGCAGTATAGTACTGGCATTTAAAAAACAGATCAATGGAATAGAATAAAGATCCCAGAAATCCCCACTTACATGGCCAATTAATCTGCGACAAAGGAGGCAAGGATACATAACTCGGTAAAGACAGCCTCTTCAGTATGTGGCAAACTGGGCAGATAAATGCAACAAAATGAAATTGGACCACTTTCTTAGACCATACATAAAAATAAACCCAAAGTGGATTAAAGACTTAATGTTAGATCTGAAACCATGAAACACCTAGAAGAAACATGGGCAGTGAACCCTTTAACGTTAGTCTTAGTATCTTTTTTGATGCAGCTCCTTGAACAAGGGGCAACAAAAGAAAAACAAGTGGGACTACATCAAACTAAAATGTTTTTGACGAAACCAACAAAACGCAAGAACAACCTACTGAATAGGAGAAGATATTCAATGATATACTCAATTATGGGGTTAATATCCAAAGTATATAAAGAACTCAGACAACTTAACACCAAAAAACAATTCGATTTTAAAAATGGACAGAGGACTTGAATGCACATTTCTTCCAAAAGGACATACAGATAGATGGTCAGCAGATACTGAAAAGATGCTCAGTATCACTAATCGTCAGGGAAACACAAAACCGCAATGCATAGCCCCTCACACTTGTCAGAATGGCTGTCACCAGTCAGTACCAAGTGCCGGCGAGGATGTAGAAGGAGGAGCCTTGACACTGTCTGTAGGAATGTGAGTTAGCGCAGCCACTGTGCAAAACAGTCTGCAGATTTCTCAAAAAATCAAACAGACCTGCCATACGGCCTAACAATTCCACTTCTACACATTTATCTGCAAACAAAAGCCCTCATTCAGAAAGAGATGTGCACTGCTTTGTTAATTGTAACCAAAGTGGGGGAGCAACCTACAGGTCCATCAATAGATGAATGATAAAGAAATGTATATCAATATTCATAAATCTGCATAATAATGGAATATTACTAAGCAGTAATAATGAAATCTTGCCATTTGCCACAACATAGATAAACCTAGAGGGTGTTAAGTGAAATAAAACAAATACCATATAATGTCACTTTTATGTGGAATCTAAAACTGAATGACATTTAGAAATAGAAAACGGCAACTAAGAGCATTATCTTATTCCCAGGATTTCTGTTTTTCACTCTTGTACAGATGAGGAAACAGGCAGAGGTAAATTAACTTGTTCAGGTCATCTGACTCATAAGTGATAGAATTTGTACCAGGATCGAGTTGGTAAAAGCCCCTCCCTGCCCCAGGGGCCTAAGCTCTTCCAGTGAGTTCTTCAAAGAATGGTGGGTTACTGTTCCGTGAGTCTCCAGGGAAGCAGACTGAGAGTCAGAAAAGACTTGTAGATATGTGTGCCTCCCATGTAAACCTGTAACTTAGCCAAGTTCCTTTTCCCAGGGTGACCTGCGGCGGATGTGGTCTGAGCCCTTCCACTCCAAGGCCAGCAGCTCCCGATTCCTGGAAGTATGATGGATCGCAGTGACCAGCTGGCCATCCTCGCCTTTTCTGTCGACGCATTTCCTCTTGGAGTTGGCCTGGTCCTCGGAGACGTACCTGTTTAAGGACCTGACGTGGGCTGGATTTTGCGTTTGCGGGGAGCTTGTCTGCAGGAGCGAGGTGCTGGGGCGCTGCCGGATCCTCTTCCCGCCGGTGGAAGTGGAGTCCTTTCGGCAGTGACAGCCCCCCCAGCGCTCCTCCTCCCGGTTTCATGGACCTGCATAGACTCACCGTGGGAGATGGAGGTGGGACTAAAACTGACGGCGGCATGGAGTCGCTCTGTACCTTTGGAACACTAAAAGGATGAACACATGAGCAGAGTGAAGTTTCCTCAGTGAACCCTCAAGAACGTTGGGATCAGCTTCCAGTGGGGACTCAGTTTCAGAGAACTGAGACAGAGCTCTTCTGTCCTTATATTCTTTCCTTTTTTGGATTTATTAAATATTTTCTGTGGTGTGAAATGACTTATTAAATCCACAGACATTGAGTGACTTCTTGCAACATACACATATGGATTGTTGTAAAGCGTTCATGTCCACCCAGATGTGTCGGCAGTGAATGGGGGCACGGTTTTTATACATACACACGCACATAGATATGTATGAATAAACAAAACCTAAAACCTGCTAAGATCATGCTGTGTAGCAGATGGGCTCGCTGTGATTGTTAGCATGTAGAGCCGTTTTCTCTGGCTTTCTTGTACATGGATAAGCTGCTGTCTTTCCCTCCACGACTGAGCGTGCAGTTAAAAACCAGTATAGTATTTGTACTGATATACTCATGGGCGTTAGGGGTCTCATTTGGTTGTGGTCAGTATAGCAAATTAGGGATGAAAAGATAAACCTTTTTGGCCCTTTTCGTTTTTGCAGGCTCCTCCCTTGCAGGGTTTTAGTCCTTCCTTCCTGGACTGATGCATGTATTGTAGCAGCAGGCGTCTTTGTGCTTTCTGATCATAGTAATGGACAACTTGTAAATACATTTTTCTATTTTCTATTTTTTTGTATTTTTTTTTTGGCATTTTGTTTCATTGGTGTGCTGTATTTTCCATGCCCTCACTCCTTTAAGGAAAAAAAAAGAAAAAAAACAACACAATCCTCTCCTTGCTGTTGTGATTATAGTCTTGGTTTACCTGTGGTGACAACTGGGTATTGGGGACAAATGTCACGTGCCCCCCTCCCCCCACATTCCAGGAATTGTGGTCTGAGCCAGCGGCCCTGTTTGCCGGCAGCAGCGTTCCCATGGTAACTAGTGTGAGTGACGTGCGCCCGCCTTCGTCTAGCAGCCATGCCTGGTAAGGAAGTGCCCAGTGCCCAGAGGCAGAGAGGAGCCTGGAACTGGCCTGCGTTTCTGACAGCGGAGGCTGGAGCGGCAGGAGTCCTGGTCTCCCGCGAGCAGGACCCTCCTGGCCCCCCCTGACCTGCGTGATGAGCTGCGGGCTGTGGGTCCTGTGCCTGGAGGCCCAGTGGACAGCGCCGTGGGCCTGTGGCCTTGGGAACGGGAAGCCATCAGGGCGGTGCGTCCCTCTGTGTCTTCAAATCCTGCTGAGGGCCGCCTTGTGTTCTGTTTCGTTTGTTTTTTAAAAATAAATGACTCCTTTCTAGACTTTTCCACCTCATCTTCACTTTGGTTGTTGGTACCAGGCTCCCTCGCCTCCCTGCTCTGTCGGCACCGGAATGCGAACGGGAGGCCTCTCCAGGCGGGACTGAGAAGCAGCCTCTTGCCCAGGAGCTGCCAGCCGGGCGAGGTGCCCGCTCCTCTCCCGACTCCAGGAGGCTGGTGGCTCAGCAGCGCGGGCGGGGTGGCTTCCGGAATGGCTCCAGGTGAAGGCAAGGCCAGTAGTTAGAAATGTCATCCTGGCAGCCGGTCATTTTACTTCTAACTTCTCATACAAAAACTAAATTCCAGACAAGCAATGGCCCGTGATTTCTCGTTATTCTCAAGAAATTCTGTGCAGGTTCAGGGCGGGGATACACGGGGCCCCTGAATGTGATTTGGATTCCATTTGCTAGTTCAGAGTCCTTACACTGCCACGCCTGCAAACAAACCATCCCCACCCCACGATATTTTGAATTTAAAAAATCAACTTGCAATGAATATTATAAAAATAAATATATTACAATTCGGACGTTCTTGAATATTTTCAGCTGAAAATTCTCACGAAAAATGATTTTAAAAAATGATTTTAAAGTTGGTCAGTCAGGGCTGCTTCTTAGGGAAACTTTTTTTATAGACGCGCGTGGCGTGTGGGGAAGGCCCCAGACGCTCATGGCGAACAAGGGCTTAAAACGGCCGAGGAACTGCAGGGCTCCTGTGGTTTCACAGGGACCACAGCGGACACTGGAGTCCCCCGCGTCCTGCACGCGGCGCCCTTTGCCCGGGGGAGGGGGAGCCACATGCTTTTCATCTCCGTGCGTCGGCCCCCTCCCCCGCCTGAGGTGCTGTGGCCTCGTCTCCTGCTTCTCAGATGCTCTGGGTCTGGGTGATCCAAGAAGTCTTGCATGAGGCAGGCGTGTGCACAAGGTTCCCGCGCCACCTGCCCCTTCCTTCCTCGCCGCGCCGAGTTCTCCCACGTGACCGCCGTGGGAGCTCATCGCGAATGAAGATGAGACAGCAAAGTTGATCCAAAGCCACGTGTTCATCGTGTTCATCGCCGGCACCAAGCTCGGGCCTCTTCTGGAGAAGACAGCCCACAGCGCCCTGTGGGAGCCGCGCCCGCGGGGAGGGCCGCAGGTCAGACAGGTGAGGACATGGGCCACACAGAACAGACCGAGCTCCGTAAGGGTGGAGGGAAGAGTCTGTTTTCACAAAAAAGTGTGAAAAATAGAATCTGCCGTGTCTGCATAGCAGCTCTCGCAGGACTGCCCGCCAGGCCCAGGCGGTGTGTGGACGTGTTTTGTGGAGTCTAACGGCGTCGGAGCCTCGGGCGGAGCGTTTGTGCGTCCACGGCGCGCACCGGGCAGGGCGTGCGAGGGCAGCCGAGCAGCGGAGGGGGCAGCCCGGGCCTCCGGGCGGTTCCCCGGCGGTTCCCCGGCGGTTCCCCGGCGGTTCCCGGGCGGTTCCCCGGCGGTTCCCGGGCGGTTCCCCGGCGGTTCCCCGGCGGTTCCCCGGCGGTTCCCCGGCGGTTCCCCGGCGGTTCCCCGGCGGTTCCCCGGCGGTTCCCCGGCGGTTCCCTGGCGGTGTCCGCAGTGACTCCCTCATCCGGGAGGGCCACGCCTCCTAAGAGCTTCTCAATCTAACATGATCTTTATTTCTGCGTAACTCATAGGCTGTCTTCTATTTGCAAGACTCTAAATTTTTTTGTATTGATTTCAGAGAGGGAGAAAGAAACACCAATGATGAGAGAGTCATGGATCAGCTGCCCCCTCCACGCCCCCACTGTGAATCGAACCTGCAACCCAGGCATGTGCCCCGACCGGGAATCGAACCGTGACCTCCTGGTTCATAGGTTGACGCTTGACCACTGAGCCACACTGGCGGGCAAGACTCTAATCTCTTGACTGCTCACGGGTGGGGGCCTCTCCCAGAGCACCACCTCTCCCGCTTTTACAGCCATAACGTGCCTCCTCGCACCTTTCCCTGGAGCTCAAAGCCCTTCCCACCCACGTGAGGCCAGTCCCTGCCGTTCCAGCTGAGCTGTGTGGGCGCCGCGTGCTCGTCCACGGAACCACCCATCCTGACCCCACGCGGGGCTGCAGGGCTGGCCGTGCGGGGAGAGGTGGCAGCTTCCCCACACACCGGGTCGCCGGGCGACGCAACACAGACCTACCCAGAGCTTCGATCGCACGTCCGGCCCTGGGCACAGAGCGGCGCTGGGGATGCCGTTTCTCAGGACCCGGAGCCGAGAACAGAAGCGGGAGAGCTCCTTGTCCGGGGCCACCGGGCAGGAGGAGCCGGCCCTGAAGGACGCCGCCGGCAGGTGACCCAGCACACTGCTCCACGTAACACGGCCCCAGTCTCACCACGCGGCAGACTCAGCCTAGCGCAGGGCTCCTTTAACGTGGGTTTCCTGTCCGTTCTCAGTTCCAATGAGCCTGTTCCCGTCGGGGAACCTGAGCCTGCCCTGTTCCCGTCGGGGAACCTGAGCCTGCCCTGTTCCCGTCGGGGAACCTGAGCCTGCCCTGTTCCCGTCGGGGAATCTGAGCCTGCCCTGTTCCCGTCGGGGAACCTGAGCCTGCCCTGTTCCCGTCGGGGAACCTGAGCCTGCCCTGTTCCCGTCGGGGAACCTGAGCCTGCCCTGTTCCCGTCGGGGAACCTGAGCCTGGCCTGTTCCCGTCGGGGAACCTGAGCCTGCCCTGTTCCCGTCGGGGAACCTGAGCCTGCCCTGTTCCGTCGGGGAACCTGAGCCTGCCCTGTTCCGTCGGGGAACCTGAGCCTGGCCTGTTCCCGTCGTCGGGGAACCTGAGCCTGCCCTGTTCCGTCGGGGAACCTGAGCCTGCCCTGTTCCCGTCGGGGAACCTGAGCCTGCCCTGTTCCCGTCGGGGAACCTGAGCCTGCCCTGTTCCGTCGGGGAACCTGAGCCCAGCTGTTCCGTCGGGGAACCTGAGCCTGCCCTGTTCCGTCGGGGAACCTGAGCCTGCCCTGTTCCGTCGGGGTACCTGAGCCTGGCCTGTTCCCGTCGGGGAACCTGAGCCCAGCTGTTCCGTCGGGGAACCTGAGCCTGCCCTGTTCCCGTCGGGGAACCTGAGCATGCCCTGTTCCCGTCGGGGAACCTGAGCCTGGCCTGTTCCCGTCGGGGAACCTGAGCCTGCCCTGTTCCCGTCGGGGAACCTGAGCCTGCCCTGTTCCGTCGGGGAACCTGAGCCTGCCCTGTTCCGTCGGGGAACCTGAGCCTGGCCTGTTCCCGTCGTCGGGGAACCTGAGCCTGCCCTGTTCCGTCGGGGAACCTGAGCCTGCCCTGTTCCCGTCGGGGAACCTGAGCCTGCCCTGTTCCCGTCGGGGAACCTGAGCCTGCCCTGTTCCGTCGGGGAACCTGAGCCCAGCTGTTCCGTCGGGGAACCTGAGCCTGCCCTGTTCCCGTCGGGGAACCTGAGCCTGCCCTGTTCCGTCGGGGAACCTGAGCCTGGCCTGTTCCCGTCGGGGAACCTGAGCCCAGCTGTTCCGTCGGGGAACCTGAGCCTGCCCTGTTCCCGTCGGGGAACCTGAGCCTGCCCTGTTCCCGTCGGGGAACCTGAGCCTGGCCTGTTCCCGTCGGGGAACCTGAGCCTGGCCTGTTCCCGTCGGGGAACCTGAGCCTGGCCTGTTCCCGTCGGGGAACCTGAGCCTGCCCTGTTCCCGTCGGGGAACCTGAGCCTGGCCTGTTCCCGTCGTCGGGGAACCTGAGCCTGGCCTGTGTGCAGGGGACAGAGGCCTGACACGGAGGAGCGGAGAGCGGGCTCCGGCCCCAGGTCCTGGGGTGGCCCGAGGCGAAGGAGGGAGTCAGGCAGAGGGAACTGGACGGGAGCCTGGGGGTCGGGAATGGCCGCGCGTGGGCCTGGGCTTCCCTGGAGAGGAATGCAGGCAGGAGGTGGGTGTCCGGAGGACAAAGACGGAGAGAGGGCAGCACCGTGGCCACTTGCCAGCATTCCAGCCTCGGGATGGGTGCCAGCTCCGCTGCCCGCCCCATGGGCAGGTCCTGGCCCTGCAGGGGGGAGGTGCTGCCCTCCCGCGGTGGCCAACAGGGGGTGGACTCTGGATGGAGAAACACCCTCACCCTCCTTCCCCCCCCCCCCCCCCGGCCGCTCACACACACTCACTCACACACTCCTGCTGCCACCTCAACTGTTTACCCAGCAGGCCCGGCCTCGCCAGCACCTGCAGGTGAGGGGCCTGGGCCAGGAGGTGAGAGGGGACCCTGCAGGTGAGAGGGGACCCTGCAGGTGAGAGGGGCCAGGAGGTGAGAGGGGCCCTGCAGGTGAGAGGGGCCAGGAGGTGAGAGGGGACCTGCAGGTGAGAGGGGGCCAGGAGGTGAGAGGGGGCCAGGAGGTGAGAGGGGCCAGGAGGTGAGAGGGGCCCTGCAGGTGAGAGGGGGCCAGGAGGTGAAAGGGGACCCTGCAGGTGAGAGGGGCCAGGAGGTGAGAGGGGCCCTGCAGGTGAGAGGGGCCAGGAGGTGAGAGGGGACCT